TCAAAAGTTACAGCCCTTTGAATTTTTTTTCGAAATTTGTTTTTTGTCCATAACTTTATATTGAGAAGTCTGATCGAAAAAGTATGAATTGTTTTGAATTCTACGCACCAAGATTAATAAGAAAAAGTGTTTTCCCGAGAAATTTTGGTGCAGTCGATTTTTGGGAAAAAAGGAAGGTTATACACTGCCTTTTTTTGAGGCCCGAAAAAAACATTGTCTCAGATCGACCCGGAAAAGAATTTTTCTTATAGAATGTGGCCTGTAGAATCCATAATTTCAAACAGTTCCAAGATTGGGTTACTAATTCAAAAGTTACAGCCCTTTGAATTTTCTTTCGAAATTGGTTTCTAGTCTATAACTTTAGATTGAGAAGTCTGTACGAAAAAGTACGAATTGTTTTGCATTCTACGCACCAAAATTAATAAGAAAAAGTGTTTTCCCGAGAAAATCACTTAAATCGGTCCAGCCATCCTTCAGTTAAAATACTGCAAACACGTTTCAGTCTTACATTTTTATATATATAGAATTTATTTTCAAACGTCGTTTAAATGTAGTTATAGCGACTGTTTTATGAAGGTTTAAGTGTCACTTTTTTGACACCTATTTTGAGCGGCGTATAAGTGTTATACTCCGGCGGCGTATAACATTTATACGCCACTCTAGTGAAAACAAAATACACACTTAGCATTTACGTCCACTAACCTTCTATTTATCAGTCAGTTTGAGTTATACTGTAGTCATGGATACAAAGCAATGGGTGCGTTCACCAGAACCAACTGTTTGCAAACCGTTTGCGCTTTTTATATAAGCATATTTACTGAACGCATTGCTAATTGTCAAATTGTTTGCAAGCGGTCGCCATTTTTTTAATCATAATTCAAACTCGCTGAAAATCACAAACATGTTGATCGGACATGCGCATTTGTCATAAGCGCGCAATTTGCCTGGAAACCACACGTCAAATTTAATTTGAGTGAATTTTGAGAAAACCGTTTTGTATTCTTTTTTGTACATTTCAATAAAAATATGGCAACCTTTCTACAGTTTAAATACATCCTGCTATACGAGATGAATTGAATTGTCCTATAGAAAATAAAGATTGGAGTATTAAATGCATATTCACTGGATCCTTGAGTAAATATTTTTTATCCATAAATTGTACCTGCTTTATGACAAGTTTTTATTTTCAGATTGTTACATTTAATAAATTTAATAAACTCACCACATAAGTATAGTCATTTTAAGGAAAGAGTTAAGATTTGTATAGGTGAAAAACGTATAGTTATAGCACAGATATACGACGTATAATCTGTGGTTATAGTGTTGCAAGGCAGGGTTTAATTGCCAGCAATCTACTAGGAGACGAGCAAATCGTTCGTGCCGTTTTGGAGCCTTCATAAACCGCATATGAAGGGGTCAGTACAAGTCCAAATGAAATCGAGAGCACTCAGCCAGTATCAGTTATAGGTTATAGAGATACTTGTGTTAATTATTAGTATACGAATAATGTACCCTAATTAGATTCGAAGAGAAGTTTGGTGTGGAACGATTTCACACAGTTATTCACAAAGTTATTACTCGCCGAGTATTTCAAATTTGACATTCGTCAAAGGGCTGAAGTAATACTGTTAAAATATCTTCTTTTTTGTCTGGCAACTTTGTCGTGGGCAGTGTACGTTCGCAGTTTCTTGCGTTTTTACGGATTAACAGCACCATTTATTGATAGGAAAAAGCTCTATCAAATGACACAAAAAGTAAAAATGACTTCCATAAGAAAAAACAAAGCTGATGATGGTTAACCGGAGACGAAACGTCAGACTAAAAATTTAAAACTAGCATCTTGTATATGGAAAAAAGTGGTCACAATTATGCGCCGTTTATTTTGAAATATCTTTTTAAATAACTTAGGTAACAAATAAAAACGATTTTGTAAAATGTCATTTTTTTTCTGGATACCTCCGAAGGTAGTCGGAATTTTTTCAGTTTCAAAACGACATTTTGTTAAGTATCAAACTACTCAACTTTGCCAACCTCTATTTCTTACAGTTCCCGAGATCCCCATGGTGGCCCTCGAATTTGAATAAGCCTGCATACATGGAATGCTCCCTTCTTCATTCATAATTAAATTATTCGATTTATCTCTTACAACTTTAAAGCGCATTGTGTGCAATGTGCAATTATCCAATTTTTGGTCGTGATGTATATGTACTAGTAATTTACTCCAATTTCGCGCATAAACCTATATGCCGATGGTTTAAACAAATATGCATGCCTTACAAAATTACAAACATGTTTGTGATTTTCAGCGAGTTTAAATTGCGATTCAAAAAATGGCGTCCGCTTGCAAACAGTTTAACAACTAGCAACGCGTTCAGTAAACGTACTTATCTAAAAAGCTCAAACGGTTTGCAAACAGTTGGTTCTGGCAAACGCACCCTATCGTTCACCTGCGCCTAAACAGTTTGTGTTTGCAAACGTAATCAAAGCGCAAACACGTTTGGTTCTGGTGAACGCACCCAATGTTATGCTGATATTATTTGCGGTACCTATTGAGTGCATTTTTACCTATTTCCTACCTATATGTAAATGACGTTTGAAAATAAAATATAGTATTTCATTCGAAGTATAAGTTCCTTTATGTGACTCGTATGAATTTAACTTTAAACTTTAAACTTTCATACTCGGTCACATAAAGTGTAACTTATACTCCTCATAAAATAAATATCTATTATCGTGTTATATATAATCGTGAATTTTCCCATTTTTCCGGTTAAATTTTCACATGTACCCGGCTTTATGGCTCAGTGGTAGAGCATTGGGTTATAAATCCGGAGGTCGGGTGTTTGAACCTGGGTTGAGGTAAATTTTTCATCTGTGGCGGAGATGGAAATTACCTTAGACCAGTTCCGGGCATTCTACCGGCTACTCCGAATAAGGTTTTCCTGCAGTTTTCCTAATTCGTAAGATACCGGAGTAGTGTAGACCAACTTAAGACCTTCTGCAGAGGCACCTCTAAATAGCATTATGCGGGTCACTCTGTAATTGGGCGCATGTCTGTTGAGGGCCCAGAACAAGAGAAGGGATAATAAATAAATAAATAAATAAATAAATAAATGTTTTGATATCCTACGTCCTATTCCCAGGGAACAGTAATCCAACAAACCAAAAATCACTTAAATCGGTCCAGCTATTCTTCAGTTAAAAGACTGCAAACACGTTTCAGTCTTACATTTTTATATATATTAAATTGTTGAGGGCCTAGAACAAGAGGGACAAAAAATGAATAAAATAAATATCATCTTCTCCATACACTCTCTCTAAATAATCTCTTTTTCAATGAAATAGGTAGCATACATAATTTGAATATTTATGAAAATTATATGCGAAAGATGTAATAGTTAATTAAAAAATATACAATTAATGAATTATCTGTTAGCTTCATCTTTATCAGGACGTGGTTCGATATTTCGATTAGTTCCACGGCAATTAATTCATTTGCACGGGCAATACAGACTGCACATTTAGTTTTACAAAAACAATCTATATTATAAAGATGCTATTTGATCTTGCTGGTAGTGTCTATTTCAGTGACATCCAAAATTGTTTGTCTCTCCAGTCACAGTAGAAATTAGCTTCGAAAGATAACAATTCCGATATTAGTAAGACAATGTGGGGTTACTACTTAACACTATTTCTGCTAGACATGAAATTATACCGCAACTGCATCACTGCATGTAAAATGCCAGGTTTTGTGGCAATGTCAAGTCTTTATGTCTTTTTTGCATGCAATTCGAAGATGTAGGTATATGTAATTTCATTAAAAAAACGGCATTTGATGATTAAATAACGTAATATACTTACTATTCTGCTAAACCCAATTGTATCGGGTAATTATTTTTTCCATTGCTAATTTTTACACCATTTATGTGATTTCTTGCTGCAGCTTGTGTTTGTACCTTTTCTTTTACACATTTCGTTCTTTAACACCAAAGGGTGTAGGAGTTTAATCAGTACAATTAATGCAGTAGAGCTCTACATTGTTAGTTTAAAGAATGAACATTTTAGCTTTGTATACTATTGAATTTAAAAATTAAAAAAGAATTATTTTTCCCTTATGGGAAGCAATAGAAGATGCAAGAAAAGGTAATTGTAACGGACTTACATCTACAAGGGGTGAAGACCTCACTTGCATAAAATAAAATTGACGCCACTGGCAAAGACTTTAATGTGAAAATCAATTTTTAATTTATCCACGACTAGCTCAGTAATAGACACGTTTTTATACCCCTTACCTTGAGGAAGTGTGGCCCTATATCTCCTCTTAAAATGTGAAATTCAAAATCTATTTCTATTTCTTCCGGCACTCCAATTCTCATTACCTTAGTCATTTTCTGATTTATAATACTAATAAACCATATTCATCTTCTCCAACTTCAAGTTGTTTAATTTAATGTCACCCTCATACCTTTCCGTAGTGTAGCCTGTTTTCACTGATGAAGTCCTGACGACCGAAGGACTTCCGGGACAAGGCAGGTATCAAGTACCAACGATCTCTGGGAAGGCGGGTGAGAAATCACTCTAAAGGAGGAAGAATTCTTCGGGATCAACTGCGTCAGGATGGAGAACGCCATGGGAAACCATTCCATTAAAGACCTGACGGTATTCCTTGAGAAATGCCAGAAAAAATGAAATCAGAAAAAAATATTTAAAGAATGAATGTTTAAATGATCAAAATTGAGTCTGACGATCTTGTTACATGGCGAAATATGAAAAACCACACCTTGGTCAACAGATCATCGATTTCCTTTCCAGTATAGGTACTCACATACAAAACATTTTAACATATTGATATGGTTACTAATTACTCCGTCCCTGTTCTTTTAAGACCTTCACCGGGGCCGGCCCCATAGCACGACCCTTAAATGATATGCTAAATTAAGAACGTCATGAGTAGTTTGATCCATTTCAGTGCAAGACTATAACGTTGTTCATTTTTTTAGGTTATTATCGCCATAATCAGCAATGCCTCCAGTAAACCCATTATGGTGACATTCGGTACAAAGCAGGGTCCCATCGTGCCACCAACTCCAACAACGACACATCGCGTACCCCCACAAGACCTCAAACAACCCGCACCTGTCTCTGAACAAGTCAACGACATACCGAATCCATCAACCTACAAACCTGCGGTACCCTTACAGTACCGTCAAAAATTATTGGGTTACAAACCTCACCCGAATCTGATACTCGGTACAGCCACCGATCAGAAGTACTTTGGCAGCTCGAACAAGTTCAACTCGTACAAGCGCGAGCAGGCCCGTGCGCTTGGTTTGGAATACTCCGGTCCGCAATACTTCGAAGTGCAACCGTACGAATTGGAACGTGAACAGAAACGCATACTTTACAAAACCCAAACGCAGCAGTACATCCAGCCCAGAAACGACTACTGGAGCGGCAGGGACGTACCCCAAATAGGCGTCGTTTATTCCTCGGGTGTTAAATACTACGTACCCGATATTTTGTTAACAAACGACGCTTACAGTGAAAACGACGTTTATGGTAAAAACGATTTCAAGTATCAGTATTACCAATAATGACACTCCTCGGCCATATTTTTTAAATTTGTACATTTTTTAGTTAATCTCAGCACCACTTCTAAGTGGCGCTGATGTACATAATTTTAATAATTTATAATAAAACCGTTTTATTTATTGATTGCCTAATTTCAGTACTTTTGGTGTATGCATTAATGCAGTGCGTACGTGAAGAGAAAGTTTCCGAATTGTGTAACACTTGGGCATCTTTTTACTTATATTTACGATGCAATACATTATCACCATTAAGAATCTGTACGTAGCCCAATTAGCATGCGTAATTTATGCGCTTGGGCGAGATACAAATTTCTTGACATTTTAACCAGGAACTGAACAGACAAAAGATGGACTAAAGAGCCTAATTTTATTACTTAGGTGCAACAATGCACGGTATCGGGCTGGAAAATAAGCGAAAGTAATCATCGCCGGTAATTTCCTAATTCAACTTAAATTACACGATCAAATTTGATAAAGTTAGCCGGAAGGCGTGTTTGCATAAGTGTTAAAAGAACACGGCACACGTGCTTCCTGCTAAAAAAAACTCACGACTCGTTAATTGTTAGTTAAATCCAAAAATTATAGTCATTTTTCGTTCTTTATGAGCAATTATTGGTCATTCCAGCCAGATGCAAATCATATGTGAGACCGAAATCTGTTACGTAAATGACGGTAAATGGTCTCCAAAGTCGTTTGTACTTTATTTCCCGTAGTGCCGCATTAGAATTATGTATATTACAGAGACTAATAGCATAACTCTACTGTGTAATTAGAAAGAAATTGACGTACCCATTCGTTTTTTGTTGATGCCATGTTCATAGCAATAAATTCCAATGGAACTCTTTAAGTAGAAACAGAAAAAATCCCAAAATGTGTAACTGCCAATGATGTGCCGCCCATTACATATTTGGGAAGCATATACAGTAGTTCACTTCAAACCATCCTTTCAAGATTTGGGAAGATTGATAGATATAACTTTATTGACAGGCAACTTTCTCAGTGGGTAGCGAACCATAAAACAAATTAAATTGCAAAAATATATTTACGTATAAATCACGACCCCCCTAAAATTGTGTGATTTATTTATAATAAAGACCGTGTTAAATAGCTGGTCGAGCGTAATGATTGCTGTGGGAAAATAATTTCACAATCTCATATTACAGCAAGCCCACTTTTCACGAAAATTAAAACTGTGAGATATTGGCACAGATATAAATTAAAAAGATGGGACTACATTGTGCAAAGTAACATTTGGAAGAATAATAACATTATCGGTAGTTCAAATTAATTTGAAAGATTAGTTTGTAATATCTAGCAAACCTATAAGGTTCCATCAATTAGTTACTTATCCTACTCACATAAGATTATTTATAGTTTAATAAAGATCATTTTACAACAACAAAAAGTTGACAAAACAGACAAAAACTGTAGGAGGAGATAGTCCTAGACTAAATCGATTAATTCACAAAGTGGGTATAATGCTACACGTGTATAATTGGTCTTTAAAGCACTTGCAACGTTAAAGGCACTCCGCTTCGCGTCGTGCCATTAAACTCGTTGCGCGTGCTTTACAGACTTGATTATACACTTATATCTTAATATACTATTGTATACTGTCACTATTCACTCATTGCATTATAATGTAATCCATCTGGGAGGAAAAGTGACGTTTAAATCTCCTAAACAGAAGACACGTAAATTTCCATAGATCTCATCTGTGTAAATAAATTGACATTCGGCCATTCGGGAGATGTGGAGAAAATTGCATTAACAGGTACCACAGACAACATATATACTATGTTGTCAGTACCCTTAGATTGTAATTATCAACAATCTGTTGCAAAATTTTAAATGAATGTGCAGTAAAGACCATCTTTTGGAAATTTTTTCATAAATATTACATTTGTTCGAAAAAAAATTCTCTCCCTATGAAAACGTAAATGCAATGCCACAGATTAACTACAGCAATACTAATGTACCCAATCAGTGCGTCCGAATAAATGAATTTTAGGGATAGGTATATCATCCTGCTAGATCTTGTTTATCATTAGTAACAGCAAGTACACACCGAACTTAGAATGACAACCATTCACCAGTAAAAAGGACTAAAAAGTTCTTTGAGAACATACAATCAATGCCCTAGCGCAGTGCAAAATAACCCCGGTCAAATAAACATTCATTCTAGGCTAAGAAGACAACTACCCCAAGATAAAATTATGGTCCTTAATAATAATTAGACTATTGAATGGGCGCCTCTTAAGTCAAAACTAATGTCATGTATATTTATATTTTCATCCCAACCATTATTGTAGTTTATTGATGTTTTTGTTTACTTTTTCTAACTTCGACGACCACAGCAGTTCCAGTGCTTCCAGTCGTAATTCAATATTATAAATTGTAATTTAAAAGAGGTAATTCAACTGATAAAGACTTGCGATATGAAAAGCTGGTAAGTTCGTCATTTTTGAATTGATTCCCAATAGCAGTGAGAGATTGGGTCGAAGAGTATCCTGAGCATCTTGAAGCTCTTTCGTAGCAATCTCGGCACGTGGCAAGTGCGCCTTGTTTTCGAGTATCATAATGCATTATGTTTGGGCCTTGTATCCCCCCAACCTTCCTCCTGCGATTGCCTGAACGGTGATGATCCTATGCTTGAAGAAATCCATCCGCTAATAATAGGTAAAAACAAAGGTTTAGTGTGCGTCGCTAACCAACGAAACCATGGGCCGTATGAATAAAAGTAAGCAAATGCTTATACTTGCAAAATTCAAAGTAAATACTCGTAACTGCCCCTTCATACTGGTCTGTTTAGCAAGGTTTAGCAGCGCTGCACTGCGTCCTGTCCTTCTGCTTAGAAGCGCTGCTAAGTCGCCCAGTGCGAAGGAGCATTTACGAGTATTTACTTTGAATTTTTCAAGTATAAGCATTTGCTTACTTTTATTCATACGGGCCATGCCTTTGTTTCTATTTCTATACAAATTCAACTTTACTGGCTGTTGATATGAATTTCGCACTGCCCATCAACTAAATTCAAGATGCGATATGTACAAGATAAAACAGTCGTCATTCTTATTACTTTATTGCGTAAAAACGCAGTCTTCCAATAATATACATATAGATCACATGGTAAAATTGCATTAAACTAAATCGTGCACTTGCACAAGCATCCCTTCTCTAACATTGCACCAGATATACCTAATGCGATTCTTGCATAAAGCGTGTGAGTGTGAGAATAAGACACATTTCCTCAACGAGATGCATTTCTTCATTATTTTCGTTAATCTGGTAAGTCAATTATTTTAATATTCAGCTTACTGGTAGATCGTATTTGCATAATGCATTCTTCGGTCGCCGTTACTCAACCTTTAAAATTGTTTGTCTATTCATTTTAAACCTTATTAAGAGAAAAGTTGAAGAAATTGTTGCGCATCCGTGAGCGTCAGTTGTAAACTTTTTGATCTTATTCCGTGAGTTGCAAAAGTAACAATAAACTAAATATGTCACTCATCTCAAGGCAACATCAACTTAATTGGCTTGTATAATCTATGTTCTTAGATTGCATACTCCGCTTGTGTACTCGAAAATATTGCCATTCATCACTGGGAAAAAGGACGCGGAAATTTTGTTAAGGGTAGTTATAGCCTTTTGGATTCTGATGGTCGCGTGCGGACTGTCGATTATGAGGTGGAGGGCGATAGGGGATTTCGTGCGGTAGTCTCGTACAGGCCACCAGGTGGTAGTTACAGTAAGTGCGTTCGTTTATTTCATCTGCTTCATTGAGGCTTACTTTCAGGGTTTCTACTCAATCCAAGTTCTCCATTTCGCCGTCAAAATCCAATATGGTTGCGTCAGCCAGTTGGATTGATCAGTCAGGAGATCTTAAGTGGCCGAAAGTCTTATCCTGAGTTCAAAATATAGTAGTAAACCTTGTTTGGGCTTAAAAACTTCTAATTATGGTGATAATACATTTTGAAATACTATTTGAGTTTGGTTAAGTATTAACCCTAGTCTGTATGTAGAGCAAAATTGAACGGAAACGCATTAGAGGTAAAGTATGAAAAATTAAATGATCCCAAATCAGCAACCGAGACACCTGGTATTTTATAATCAAATGTCAAAATCCTGTATTGTGTCCGGACCCACTTTGGCACTTTCAAACTACTTTTAGGGGAATTGAGTCCCGACATTTTTTTGGATAGGGAGGCCTTAAAAATGTGCCGTACCCCTTCAAATTTATGTGCCTCATTAGGGGGGTCCCTGATACGCTGAAATGTTAAATGGGACGACCGAAGGGTGCCGAAATCTGAGTGCTAAGTGATGTAGCACCCTATTTTGTTTTGAGGGAATATCAGTGGTATAAAAATGTTCCCTCCTTCATAGAACCATAGTGAACTATCTTTTGGGGAAAGGAATTGTGTTCTATTCATCTCGGGAAGAGGGTACTCCCAGAGGGAATATGGAAATAGATGAGGTACGTATCAGCTCAAAGGTTACAACTAGGAATTTTGATGTGTCGGAAGACGTGCGACTCTCAACGAGTCCACCAATCACAGACGCCCTAAAATTGCAAAGATAATAATCCTACACATTCAAAATGTAAGGAAGTAACGACATCTGTACAAAATTACTATACAACTAGTATCAAGATAATAATTTGGCGCGCTGGTACTATTTCAGAATTAATTACCTACTTAATTCCATTAACTTACGCCAGATGTTCACACGATGCATTTTTTATACCTGTCTTTTATATTTTTAAAACTCAATGCCAACACTACAGTATAAAAAATGACTTATCATTTTTTGCTATAGTTTAAAATCTGCGTGTTAGATTTCGGCAGGCACACAATTCAACATCCTATAGCATTTAGCTATGATACAATAGTTTCGGTCGAATTTGCCAAATGATTGATTTTGCGTGCGTACCCTCTATAAACAATTAATTCCTAATTTCTTAAGTTTTGTTTACAGACCGATTACCGATTTTGGACCATTTGCGCATCTTGATAAGCAAATCTGATTGTTCCTGGCATCGCGAACGCATTGGACACACAGATGTAATTATATTATAATATATAAGTACAATTAAAACGTTCACAAGGTAATTATTGAAATAAGTAAATGTTTATGCAGGATGAAAATTTTGTCTGAAACGCGGAATATATCTTCAAAACAACATTTTTTTAAAAGAAACTCTTTATGGTATCCAATATTATAAAAAGTTTGCTACCAACTAGATCTACATGCTTTAAATTTGTGGTCTGTTCAATCTCGGTATGTGGATAAGTGAATTAGGGGTACAACGAGGGGTAGTTCGCAACCCATAATTTGTACAGAGATTACCACTTTTGCCTTGATTTCCTCAGATTTCCTGTAGATTTCCTATGATTACCTTGGGAGTTCCTGTGATTACTTCGAGATTTCCCATGATTACTTTGGGATTACCCTGATTTCCTCTGATTTCCTCTGATTACCTATCAAAATTTCTCTAAGATATATTTGAAAAAAGTTGTTGAACCGACAGGTTAATGATATATAAACTTTAAATATAAACGGAAACTGTATTTAAACCTCAGTTCCTCAGTGGGGTCCATGATGCAGATCACCTGTGAAGAGAAGATGTGTCACTTATTGAAAACGCGCGTGAATCCCGGTTTAAAACTTTTGCAAACGCTTTCGTTTGCAAAATTTGTTATGCGATCCTTATGACAAAATCGAGGGTCGAGAACTATCAGTGAAATAACTAAGCGCAAGGCCAAGATTTGAGAACAATTGGCGCAATGTAAATTTCCCTATGGCCCATTTTAAATAACTCAACCTATACATTGTCGTATGGCCCATCTTAAAAAAACACCCTGTATAAGCATATAAGTATAATACTTAAAATAGCACGGAAATCGTTCTTCCGCAATATGATTTAGAAAATCCTGACAACTTGGACCCTTTCAGGGGAAATACCCCGACCTAATCCGATCCTGTATGCATTATACAGGGTGGTGACTTGAGTCACGCATCATAGGGATTTCAATGTAAAATTCATATCATGCCATTATTGGCTCCCCAAATTATTTTAGAGCAAAAATGTATTAAGGTTTTTTGTAGAAAAAATGTTTTTACGTCAATCAACCGTATTAGTTTTCAATTTCATGGCTTCGCAGATTTTTGAAAAAATGGGGGTTTTATATTTTCAATTTTCCGTCTTTATTATGCAAAAAATTGAAAACTAATACGGTTGATTGACGTAAAAAATTTTTTTCTACAAAAAACCTTAATACATTTTTGCTCTAAAATAATTTGTGGAGCCAATAATGGCATGTTATGAATTTTACATTGAAATCCCTATGATGCGTTACGCAAGTCACCACCCTGTATAGGTAGTTACTTGGTATTGCAAAAATATCGGCGCCAATAAAGTCACGGGCTCCACATGTTGATTACGTATTTTTATTTCCGCAAAAAGCAAATCTACATATTTTAATATAAACCGTTAAAAACCAAAAGGAATGAAAGGAAAGTTGTAACACGATTCACAAAAACTTCTTACCTTATAAATTCAGATGTAAATTCATTCTCTTATTTTGAGCGTAAACTAAAAAACGTTCACACAGCATTTTGAGTAACGCAACTGCGCATGAGCATTCAGCATTTGTAAATGATTTCCCTTGAATACCCTTTGATTTCCTTCTAGATTTCCTTGATTTCCAATGATTTCCCGTGATTTCCCTTGATTTCCTCCGATTTCTAGTGATTTCATCATGACTTCCTCGTGATTTCCTCACTAGTGTACAGAGATTTCCCCTGCGAATTACCCCTCGGGGTACAATGTAAGGCAATAAACCGCCACTTTTAGCAAAATTGTACACTGAAACCTTACACCCCAAATGAATGTGCTGTGCATTCGCTAAATACTAATCTATTTCATATCAGTCTGTGGTTTATATACAATTAATTTCCTTACGTATCTAAACAATTGTAACCTAGTCTATAATAGTAACTACTTTTCTTTTTTAACATTGCATAATAATGAATATTCATTATTGTACTGACCTAGTGGCCGTGCAAACAAAGCTTTCTTGCACCTAAATCGCATTGTATTGTTATTGTACCCTAATCTATGCGATAATTATTGTCCTAACTTATTACTTAATTTAATCTGTTCAATCCATTATCAAAAAGTGAACTTTTTGAAGTGTCATATTAAAAAAAGTTCATTCTTTAATAATACCTCACGAAAAAGAGTGATTTCCCTTAATAAATGGAGTCTTTTAATTCTGTAGATACACGCCACTGTAAATCATTTTTAAGCATGTGAATTTACTTAAATTAAATTAATTTTTAATGCTTTTTTGGATACAATAAATTGGTTTGATTAAACTAACAAAAGTGAAAAGATTAATGTTTTATTCAACGCAAAGTGGTAAAATTATTTAATCCAAAAATTCCCAATGCCCAAATCCATTGAAAAAGGTCCGCATTTTTGTGTCAATTTCTTCTCTTTTATGAAATGCGCGGCCTTATTTTCAAATTTTGGAAAGGCCGTATGAATAAGCTCTGATACAAGCTTGAAAAAGATCTAAAAAGTTTTTTGGGAGACGCTAAAATTATATAGTGCATTACAATTTTATATATACTTTTCATACATAGCTCTGAAAAGAGTCTACAGACCACTAGAAGAGGCAAATGCTGCCAAATCATTCCGTAGTTATGTTTTAGTGATAGTAAAGTACAAAGATTGGTATATATAAACACATTAATAAAAGAAAAAGGGTACATTCAAGTTTTAAAAGCATTTATGGTGGGTTTATACAATCATTATCATTAGTACATCATCAAGAAATAGTCAATAGAAACCAATGTATTAAGGCTGAAAGCATGTTTGTATTTGGGTAGAATAATGTTTGTTTTCTTTCGAGTATCGTAGTTATGTACGTCTTCATGTTTGTCTAAAAACTGTAAATTTCTATAAATGTGTTGTGTGACTCTTAAGATATAAAGATTGGTCATTGTTAAAATTTTTGCATCAACAAATTTTTGTTTACAAGAGTCGCGTTTGCTCATGTTGTACATGATTCTTAATGCTCGTTTCTGGGTTTTGAAAATTGTATCGGAATCCATAGAGTTTCCCCAAAATTCAATCCCGTAAGCCATTAGACTTTCAAAGTAGGCGTGGTAAATCGCTTTACAAGTTTGAGTATTTACAAAGTTTTTGACTTGGCTTAAGGCGTACACTGCCGAGCAAAGAGACTTATTTAAATTATTTATGTGGTGTCTCCATGACAGCTTATCGTCAATATATATCCCAAGGAACATTTAAGTTAGTTAAGTCTCCCATCTCAGTCGTGAGGTTTATTAGCTCCTGAACCATCGCTCTTGGAGTTCGAAACTTAATGCTACATGACTTCTCGCAGTTGAATTTTAATTCATTGCTGCAAAACCAATGAAATACTTTGTTAATTGTTTCCGTAGCTTTAAGTTCGAACTCCAGAGTATCGTTTGCTTTAATTAATAAATTGGTATCATCTACAAATAGAGTAAACTCACAGGCACTAAAACTCAGTGGTAAATCATTGATATACATATAATAAAAACAGAATGGGACCCATATATTTATTTATTTATTATTATTTATATTATAATATAGTTATAGTAATTATTTATATTATAATATAGTTCACTATCGAAAATCATTAACAAATATCCAATAGAAACAAAGATTTATTGCGCGTTGCTAACCAACGAAACCATTCTCAGCTTAGTGAACTAATGATAATGATTATATAAACCCACCATTAATAATTACATTTTGCCGACTTCAAACTGAACCACAGTTGATCGAAAATGTGTATTCTATAAACACATTTCACTTTGTTATTAAAATAAGTGGTTTGATAATATATTAATTATATCATATTATATTGAGGCAAATTATCCTCCTGTTCCTGTTCTTGACGACGTTCTTAGCTGATGAAACCATAAAGAAAGCTCTTTCCAGTTTTCCTAGAAGTTCTTCTGAGGGAATTGATGGCCTAACACCGAGACGCCTGTCAGATTTAATAACTATTTCTTATTCCGCTCCACGATATCATTCCACGTTCTGACTTTAATTGTATGTTCTGATTTTATGTAAATGTTTGTAGTTTCCTTAATTTTTGAGTTGTTCTGATACTGTAAATTTTACTTCTACTGTAAGATCATTATTAAAATTGCAAACTATGGTCTTTGAATAAGTATATTTGAAAAAACCACGATTTAAGTGAATGCTTAAAAACTGTCAAATCATTATTTAGAAACCAACATTGCAGGAAAACACATTGAATTGTTCCTTATTCCTAACTACAATTTTTTTTTGTTTTCTTTCCTGGGAACACGTAAAATACCATTTGTATTCTTCCCAAGCATTCGTTTCATTTAAGGATACATAATAATTCAGGATGTATTCTCCCTGCTTGAAACAGATTTTTTTTGCTTATCTGGTGAGCGTAGTAAATTCCTATGTTAGTATAGCAAGAACCGAAGAAAAGATATTTGTTGTGTCAAGTCAAAAAGGACCTTATAATTTTGAACTTGAGACGTACAGTCGTAAAACCTTCATCGCCCAAACCTCAAGAACCAGAACCAAAGACTCGAAGGGAACCGACAATTTGATTTGCCCATTTGGGGTTGTAACAAATAAATAATTGTAAAGTACCAACTTTAACGTGATTAATCGATTGATTAACTTACGTTTAAGCAAAATATTTACTTATCGGCTGCTGTTGCAAAAGAGAATGAAGTAATAAGATAAAGAATTAATATGCAAATGCATAGCAAAAGGTTAACAAAGTCAATTGATATTAAGTGAACTTCAATGTCGTTTTTATAGTTAAACAGTAGTAACATTTATTTACGTTAAGTACGTATCAATAGTAGTCGATAACGAACCACTGGAAATGTAGTTCAAAGCGTTATCTCATGTTTATTGGTTTAGCTCTCAAAAGTTGGTTAGTAGGTTAAACGTGTTCGCTAAATTGCAGGGGTAAATATGGGTCCTAAACGTATAGTAATTGACACCGATCCAGGGGTGGATGACGCCCATGCCATTTTATTCTTGCTGGACGCTGATAAATTAAATATGGTCAAAATTGAGGCGATCATAGTGACTAAAGGAAACACGACTGTCGAGAACGGTTGCAGAAATGTGATTCGCTTATTGAAGATGAAGAACAGAATGGATGTACGGTTGCCCATAAATTGCGAACAATTTATTAATCGACATCAGCTGTTACAGATCCCGATTTACAAAGGAGCTTCGTATGCCTTGCTTTCGAACGAAGTAGCCGCTTCAACATATTTTGGTGACGATGGTATGGCAGATGCAGAGTACGATGAAGAGCCCGATTTGTCGATAGTCAACAAAAAACCCGGATCTTTAGCGTTGCTCGAGTTAGTCGAGCAAAATCCTCACGAACTTAGCTTACTGTGTTTGGCACCGCTAACTAATATCGCACTGGCAGCAGGTTTAAATGGTGACTTCTTTGAAAACGTCAAGGAAGTATTTATTATGGGTGGAAATTGGCGAGGTAAGTTCCTCCAGTTGATTCCTGAATTCTACAACGCGAGTTTAGGTCAAGGTAATGAAACGGAATGTGCCGAATTTAATTTCCATTACGATCCGGAAGCCGCATACATGGTTTTGCAGAAACTGAGGTGCCCAACTACAATTTTACCAAATGAAACATGCATGGCAGCCCGAATTGATACGGTACTTAAATTTACACCAATTTCATTCGATTCCATTTTAACATTGTAGAGCTGGAGGTTTGAAACTTTGATCAATGACTCCATTGATCTTACCTTCATGACGATGCTGGAAAGGAAGTTTTTTAAGCTGAGGGATATAGAAGCGTGGACTCCTTATGATCTTTTTTCTGTGTTACTCATCCTGTATCCGGAGGTGGTAGTGCGTTCAGCCGAGTACAACGTTACTGTCGAGCTTCACGGTCGATTCACACGAGGGCAGATGATACTGGATCATTTAAGAAACAGAACATCGAATGTGAATATAGTTCAAAGGATTGATAAGGAGCGTGTTATGCAAATATTATTAAATTGGTATCACATATACCCGAATGAGTAACATTAAATAATTGTCTAGGTACCTACACTATTTTGAAAAAATATGGACTTAGGACAAGCTCCAAAACCTTGTCTCAGTGAAATGTACTCGTATTATTACCTTAATATATTATAATATATATTAATATAAAACGCCCTCACTGCCTTACACAGTTGTAATGGTTCTCTTATTTCTTCCTATATTTCGCAACGCTTGATGCTACAATACCACTGACAAACAGAACATTTGTAAAACACAACACAGAAGTAGTGTATTGGAGTAGGTAGAGAAGGATTAATTTTAGATAAAGTTATCAGTACTACCACATTTAGTCACAAATTGCTTTATCTAAATTGTGTCTCAATCAAACTCCAAATAATGATGTATGTTTGACTACATTGAGGACAATATCAATAATGAAACATACCCAGTTTTCACTCCTTTCCACAGCTTTTCTATTTACCACTTTCCTTAAGATTTTCACTAAAATAAATTGATTTTTTCGTAGTCACGGTCTTTTGAACTACCCATTGAAACTCAAATCTAATAACAATATACAAGAGTCTTTATATAAAAAAAATTAAACACACCGTATAAATATTCATATTGAACTCATTCACTGGGAGCTTTTCTGCTTTGAAACTAAAGTAGCGTTAAATAAATATTTTATATAATTAAGATAACCATACCTCATGTCCTTCTGTAAATGACGATGTTGGCATAAAACAGATTTGGGGCAGTTATTCCTAGCTGATATCCCAAGATCTGCAACCCCCGAACTCTTCTAGGTTTCCTGAACCCCTAATTATCCTAAAGCTCATATGAATTTCAATCCTACTTATGTACCCTGTAGCTTACCACCTATACTTTCTACCTGGCGTGACTCACTAACTTTTTTTAGAAACTTCGATCCCTTTGACAATTGTTACACATGTTCTTGACAGTGGCGGAATTACATATAGGCACACTAGGCGCGTGCTTAGGGGCGGCAGCTTTAGAGGGCGGCATTTTTTGCACTCTATTTATTTTAGGTAATATTTTAACTTTTAGTTCCCTAACAAATTACAAATGACAAACATTTTTAATTAAAATTATGAAATAAATCGGAATTGATAGATAGTTTAAACAAACTGTAACTGCATGAACGATAATCGACAATACAAGTTTTGACGTGTATGAAAACTTAATCTTAGGTATACTGTATTTCTTTTCATAGTAGCATTGAATAATAAATCTGAATTTATTATTCAATGATAGTAGTTTTAAAAATGTCAAGTTATAAGGTGATTTTTATTCGCATCTTAAAATTTATTGCAATTTAAAGATTATTTTTGGAGGGGCGCATATCTTTCGGTGTGCCTAGTAGTCTGGAAGCCAGACGAAAAAGCTGGAAGTAAGGTACGGTGAAAATTTTTTTGCGGTTTTAGGTCACTAAGTAGGTCTATTTTAAGAATCCGATTGATGCCACTCTGTCACCCTTGAGCATTTTGAGAAATTCAAGATGGCGCCCAAAAATATCTGCAAAAAATACAAAAATTGAATTTTTTAAAAATATGGGCATGTAGCACATCGATTTTAGGGTTTTTTTCTGAATTTAAATTTTTAGTTAAAAATATTTTTGGGGGCGTTTTGGAGGAGTGGGGGTGTTTATAAGGGGGTGGTTTTTATATTGTTTCAATATTAACGTGTCGTACATCTATTTATATGTTTTTATGAATAAGGATCCCGAATTCCATATCAAAATGGAGGTACACAGCAAGTTATTCAATGTTAAAAAAGTAGAACGACGCCGACAGACGGCCGAAAATAACATAAAACTCGCTGATTTTAATAAAAAGATAATAAGTATAACAAGTGCGATACGTCTTCTTATAGGTTTCTTTGGGTGGAGATTACAATTTTGATGTCAAAATATGATTTTTGAATAAAGCCTAGAAAGATATACAAGATAGCGTCAAAATTTAGAGTTAAAAAGTTTACCATTTACTCCAATACCCTTACTTAAATATCCCCATCCCACATATCCTAATGTGTAATTGTGCAAATAACTACTAATATCAAAGCAAAAGTTTTGGTTAGTAGTGATTTTCACAGTTACAATATTTATTTTACTTTTTTTCAGCATTTGTTTTTTCAGGAACAGGTTTTCTTTATTTCTGAAATTACTTTATATTAAAATAATTTCGAAAATAAAAACACATTTTTCCTTTTGCAAGACTATCAACGCCAGGATGGAAACTAAAAGTGAACATAAAAAAGTGCATATTTCAGTGTGAGAAATCCGAACAGTTAATGACAATCAGTGAACAAAAACTTCAAACAATAATTAGTGCGTGCTACCACCGTGAAGATGAAACGCTGAGAAATTGGATTGAGGACCAGCAGAGACTAGAGATCCATGAATTTTATTGTCATCGCTCTTGTGTGTCGACATAAAAGTAGGAGACAAAAAGAATCTAAACCAACAGAAGTGCGTAATCTGCGATCATTTAGTGCGTTCGATTTTAGAGAAGACTGCTTGTTGTGCACCGAAAAATGTCGTGAAAAAGATCCTAAAAACCCAAGCCGATTTAACGAATTATATTGTACGAACATTGGACATAAATCAAAACATTCTGAAAGCCTGTGAAAAACGCCAAGACAAATGGGCAGAAGAAGTGAGATCTAGGATCGTTGGATGCTGCCCAAAACCTTGTTCTTCCTAAAATTGACGTTACGCAATATGGATGCGAAAAAGATGACGAAAACAAAATTTTAAACCCAATTTCTGTCTCCAAAAATACTAAATTGACACCAGATTTTATTCTAGAGCTTGCTAAACGCTCTTGCAAAGCTAATGACCCCTGCAGCTCGAACAGATGTGGTTGTCTATCAAATGGGTTGTCATGTAGCCTGAAGTGCAAATGCATGATGGATAAAAGGGACAAAAATAAATGTAAAAATCCACTAACAAAATTTGTGGAAACTGCGCAAAATGAATCAGAAAGCGAAGTACCGGACAACGAGTAAATTTATGTTTATCTGCAATATTTTTTCGTTTGCTTGTTATTTTTTTGTTTAAAAATGTATTATATCTGTAAGTAATGTATTTGAGTTTGAGTTAATATATTTATTTTTTTGTTATTTTATTCAGTAGTTACAGCTTCCCCCCTCAAGTAGCTTCCCCCCAAAAAAATAATTAACAAATAGGAGTTTCTGTTTTAAGACCTATTTTGATCTCAAATTCGAGATTCTTATTCATAAAAACAAATAAATCGATGTACGACTCGTTAATATTGAAAAAATATAAAAACCAACCCCCCAAAAACACCCCCCACTCTACCAAAACGCCCCCAAAAATTTTTATAACAGCAGATTTGAATTTAAAAGGCTCGAAAACTCTAAAATCGATGTGCTATATGCCCATATTTTTTATAACTTTAATTTTTGTATTTTTTTTGCTGACTGGGCCGCCATCTTGAATTTCTCAAAATGCTCAAGAGTGTCAAGGTGGCATCAAACGGATTCTCAAAGTAGACATCCTTACGAACTAAAAGCCGTCAAAAAACCTTCACCGTACCTCACTTCCAGGTTAAGCCAAAAATCCCAGTTTGGCATCCAGACTATAGGGGCGGAAAAAATTTAAATCCGCCACTGGTTCTTAAGTATATAAGAAAAATGGCTCTGGCCTTTTAGCTAATTTAATATTGTAACACTGATACATGCGTGAAGATCGCGTTCGGTATTTTAAAGGATTTATTGTTTATTATCCTAATATTCATAGAGAAAGAAGAATATTAATTAGTATCCTAGCAACAACGCTATATGTATTGAAACAGGACAAGTTGAATGTGTTTTATATTTATGTGTCAGCTCTGACAAACTTTATACCATTATAGTTCAAAAATGGAAAACACACCCAATTGCTCACCAACCGAAAAGGATAATTGTGAAATACTTGACTTTATAAAAGAACTCGTCACTGGACCGTCAAGAGCCGGCGAACCAGGCATGCGACCGTCCAGGTTTCGAGACGAAATGAAACTTACCACCGAAGACCGAATTAACAAATATAAATCATTAGTTTGCAAATCAAAAAATTCAACAAAGTTCCCGATCTTTGAGCCGATACCAGAAGTTGTTGTTTTCCAGAATTATAAAGTTGGTGTTGGGTACACGGCTTCGTTGACGATTCGAAATAACGGCAATGTAGAAGGACGTAAGGTGATGAGATACTAAAGTACTTCTTATAGTTATCCAGGCCACTACGGCCTATTTTCCCAACATCATCTTACCTAACTGTAACCTACGCTTCTGAAGCGATAAGTACGCACATAGCGCCAGGTATGGCGCTCACATTCCATGTCAAATTTTGCACTGAAGACAAAAAGGATTACAAGTTTGACCTTAAATTTGTAACTGAAAGCGAAGTTTTAACGGTTCCGGTATACGGTAAGCGCTTGTACGATTGATACCCCAAAAGATCTGACACTTTCAGCCCTAACTCCGAGACCTCTTCTGGATATCCCCGATTGTGTCCAAATTCCTACATCTGTCATTTACATACCTTCCGAAGAATCCGTATACATTAGAAACCAGGCAGTTGTACCTGCCACATTCTTCAACATCACCGAAGGTCCATTCGAAGTTAAGCCTGACAAGGGAATTTTGCAGACCGGTGACGTAATGCGGCTGATCGTGATTTTCACACCGACTCGCTTGGGAAAGTCTCACGGAAAGCTACTACTTACTTATGACAGTGGAGAATCTCTTTGGGTTACCCTGGAAGGTTACGCCAAGGAGGCGAACATTTACTTGGAAAAGGGATCGTTGAATTTTGATGAGACGTTCATCGGCCTAACGCGACAGAAAACCCTCACACTGACAAACAACAGCAAATATTTGGTTAACTTTGAGTGGAAGCTCTACGTTAGCGCCAAGGAAGAGATGGCTCACCTTGACAAGCTTAAAGAGTCGATGCACCACATGAAAGAGAATGAGGCTACCAAATCAAATAAATTGCAACATTTAGATATAATTGACGCGGGAGGGCACTCCAAAGTTTACGAGCGCATTTACGCCGACGAAGTGAGCGAATTAGAGGCGGGAAGCCTGCTTCTCTTCCAAAACCCATATTTTCGTATTGTGCCCTTAGTTAGTCTTTTACGTGGTAAACATAAGTCTTAATTTTAATTTTAGCGGGGAGAAGTGTGGCCCAATGCCAAATTTACATTTACAATTTTCTTTGCACCTACGCGTGTTGGTAGGTATAATTCTGCGGGCTACTTGTACGTAACTGGACGAGGCCAAAGAGTGCGCCTGCTTCTAAATGGACTGGCCATGGGACCAATGATTGAGTTAAACATGACCAGGTTGGATGTGAATAAACTGTACATGTGCTCTGTGCACCAGTACGAAATTGTTGCAAGAAACAAAGGTAGATATGGCCCTCTTGGAAAGTAATGAAGAAGAGTATTTCAGGTGATATTCCTGGCGGTGTAAAATTTGTTAGCCAAGAATTAGATTTTGGCGGCACGATGTCGTGTGAACCGGAACTAATACTGTTGGAACCGGGCAAATGTGGGAGATTCGTGATAACTTTCAGCAGTCGGGAACAAGGAACGTTCATCGAAGAAATTCTGTTCAATATTGAAGAATCGCGAGAAGTTCTTCGCGTTATATTTACGTGCGTGTCACCTCAACTTTAACCAATGAGCTTGATTCTACCTTTCGTTTTAGGGGTGAAATCGATTGTCCCTATCTCTCATTTGAGGAATGCGAAATAGATTTTGGAACAGTCCCAATCGGTTTGTCTTTTTAAACCTCACTGTTCCACTACCTACGCGTGGTAATTTTAGGTGACCCCATACGAAAGCAAATAGTAATGAAGAATAGTTCGCTTGTTCCTATCAGTTACAAACTATCAGTGCAAGGAGACGGGGACATACCCTCGGTGACCTGTGCAGAGTACGCTTCGCTACCAATCAGGTGTGGGTTGAGTAAAAGGCCGAGAGAATTCGATTACTGTCAGCGAAGTGGAAGTGTCCCCCCTAATTCGTGCTTCCACATGGAGGTAAAAAGTTCAATGCTAGAAGATCGTATAGTGATCCTTTTCAGCTCACGCTAACAGCCAACATCGTTCGACATCGCTCCACAGCGCTCATTATTAAAATGTGGGACTCGCACAAGCACACAATCTCCTTGCCTCTTTCGTATGCGGTATCAGTACCCAAAGTGAGCTGCGTTCCACCAGAAATCAACATACGATTTTGCTTTCTGAACTACCCTTACCATCGTACCGTTATATTGCACAACGAAACCCCATTATCTGGATACGTGGAAATTGACGCATCTTCTGTAAGTATGCATTGTTGTAACGCACCCCGTGGTTATTGTTTCTAAAGCAAAGTGAGTACAACGGCATCCAATGCACCGCATCACACTCGTCGTGTTTTATCAAGCCCCACCAAGACGTAGAACTGAACTTGGTTATCACTATGAGCATTGCTGAACAAGATCGACTGCCCATTTAGTAAGTCAAAGCAAGCAGTGTGATAAATATCACCTTTTCGTAGTGTAACGCCCTTAGGCGGCCAAAAGATGCAGTGCTGCTCGATAGTTTGCCATGGTCAAGGTCCTGTCGTCACAGCTGACACCGAAGAGGTCGATTTTGGTAAGGTGAACCTGCTAACGTGCGCTACGCAAGCCTTAACCGTCTCAAATGATTCTCCTATACCGGCTAACGTTTCGATTAGTATTGTAAGTACAAGGTCTTCCACATACTTCATCGCTGAGCGTTAGTTTTTAGTCGCCGAAATCACTCTTCTCAATTGATCCTAAAACGTTTGCGTTGAATATCGATGAGTCGAAAACTCTGTCGATATCCGTCTATATGACCAGCCCCGGTACGGTGGTGGATAAGCTTTCCATATGCGTAATCGATGGAAACACATACGAGGTGACTTTAAAGGCGAAGGGTGTCGGTACTTGCATTGAAAGCTTACCTGCGTTAGCCCCCAGTATAAATTTTGACGTGTTGATGACCTATCGGGAATTTTCGTTTGATGTCACGTTCGTGAATAGAGGGAAGAAGTGGCACAAGTTGTATTGGTCCCGAAATAAACATCTGAAGCAAATGCGCGAGTCACCTAACGAACTAATGCCGTAAGTAATATACTGCTGTGCCTCTTGGCTTTATGTTTTTGCTCTTTCTTTTAAAGAACATTTATCAGAACGCAGCATACCACTTGAGTATAAGTCGAGTTTATTTGTTAATGTTTTTCTTTAGCACCGCTACCTTTTAATCACTAAATTAGGGTTGCAACCCAAAGTACACGTTGTAACGGTTGCTCTAATTTGGGGTTTCTTGACTAGTGGAATTGTTAGAATAAATTTGTAACCAATTGTTTGAATGCAAGCCTGCATCTTTTAATTTCTGTAGGGAATTGTTTTCCTATGGATTCCGGATATCCTAATTGTGGGGGATATTGATCATATTCAGTTAATCTAATAATAATAATAATAATAATAAATGACTTTAATAGACAATTTCTATACAGAGCCTGTCTAAATGGCGGAGTTCAGACAGGGATATCATCCGTGTCTGCTCTTCCACTCAACCTTTAATTTATTTTATGTTAGTGTATTTAACTAGGCAGGTCATGATACATACAAAAAGTGAAACAACAAATGGAGTAGTACATTTAAAACTCAAGAAACAAGAATTTGACAATTAAGATGTGGTTTACAAAGTAAGCTGTTAATTGTTTTTAACACGGAAATATTTTACATATTTATTATGTTTTTAGGATGTTTTTAGGAGGAGTCGACGAACACTAACTTTGAATTTATCTGGTACATAACATTTTACATCTACTGGCCAAGCATTATATATATGAGCAATCGCGTACGAATATGACCTCTGAAATATTCTTTTTTTATGCTGCGGAATGGTTATGTGGTCTTTACGGCGAATGTTAATGTTATGTACATCTGTGCGAAAAGTTATTTTGTTATAAAGATAAGGGGGTGATTTAAAGGTTACGATTTTGTGAAAAAGAACGGAAGCACGAAGTAAGCGTCTTTTCTCCATGTTTAACCATTTAATTTCTGATAATTTATGTGAAATGGGTAGCCTTCTCCTGATACCAAAGATTAGTCTTAGGCACGATTTTTGTACAACCTCTATCCTTCTAGAATTACGGTCAGTGAGACAAGGGCCATACACTGTAGAACAGTGGCTGAAATGCGAAAGAACCAGAGAATTACATAATAGAATTTTTGAATTTGAATTTAGAAGGTGCTTAATCCCATAAATATACCCCAATCCCGCGTAGGCACGTTGTATACACACCTTGATATGTTCCTCAAATCTTAAAGTAGAGTCTATAATTAAACCAAGGTTTTTAACATTATTAACAAATGAGAAAGACTGATTGTTGATTTGAATATTTAACTTAGATATTATCTGTTCCCGATTGAATAAATTATGTGTTGAGCCAAATAAAAGAATTTTACTTTTCTCCGCATTTATATGTAGTGAGTGATCTGTGGCAGATTTAATAAAGTTGCTTAGATCCGTGTTAATAATCGCATTAGCGGTATCTATGTTGCACTCTTCAAACCCATAATATAATTGGGTGTCATCCGCGTAGGCGTGATAGTTTACGTGTTTTATTGAAGTAGATCTGGGAAGTATAAATAGAAAACAAAAGAGGCCCAAGTATTGAACCTTGAGGAACCCCACAGTGGATCGATTTGCGACTAGAGGCTAATTCATTATTGACAACTATTTGGGCTCGGCCATGTAAATAGCTTGATAGTAATAATATACAATTTTTTCCTAAACCTATGTAATGCAATATGGAAACTAAAATGTTATGATTAACCGTATCAAAGGCTTTCGTGAAGTCTAATAGAATTAAAACTATAATCTTATTTTTGTCCATATCAGTAATGATGTCATCTGTAACTTTTAATAGTGCAGTTTCACAACTATAACCACTTCTGAATCCAGACTGCAAACAAGGCAAAATGTTAAATTTCGCAAGGTGTGACTCTAATTGAAGGTACAACACTTTTTCGTATATTTTTGATAATACTGGCAGTATACTGATAGGTCTCAGATCTGACATGTTCTCGGGATTACTTTTTTTAGGTAGAGGATGCACCATGGAAACTTTCCAACAATCTGGGAATACCGAATGTTCCAATGAAAAATTTATTAAATGTATTAAAACAGGGAGCACAGAGGGACAGCACAGTTTCAACATTTTTAAAGATATGTCATCTATTCCCGCCGTATTTGACTTAATTGAGTTAATAATTGTAAGAATACTGTTTGCATCAATCATGGTAAATTCAAATTTATCTCCTACTGGCACGACACAGTTTGATCTATAAAAATGTACTAAAGTACTGTTGTCTTTCGACTTATTTTTCACCGAAGATATAAAAAATCATTTATGTCATCGACATTATCAAAATGAGAGGGTAATTTAGTGTCCTTATTTTTATGTGCAAGACCTAGGTTTCCTAATTCTTTGTAAATATTAGTTTTGAGAGAAATATTTTTCAGTTGATTTTCAAGGTACGCCCGTTTCTCTTTTATAATGGCAGTATTCACTAGGTTTCGTAACATTTTATAGTATCGCCAGTGACCAGCATCCTTGGTTTTACGAAATTTTGTCCCTGCATTATCACGTAATTTCATCATGCGTTTTAGAGTATCAGTTAACCATGGTGCTACCTTTTTCGTTATCCTTGTTTGCCTTCTTGGAGCGTGAATGTTAAACAAATTAACTACTGCACTATTAAAAAGCGTTACCTTATCATTAATATTCGACATTTGATAAAAATTGTTCCATGAAGATCCATAAGGAATCAAATCAAATGATTAATGTCAACTGAAACTGATTTAATGAAAATGAAAATTAGGGCTATTTGATTACAACTGCCAATTCGGCTTAAAGTCTATTCAGCATGGTGTAAATTGCCACGTAGCGTATGCTGATTGTGCTTGTTTAATTGGTAGTGCAAAATGAAGCAAAACAATCAACGATTAAAGATGTCCGATTTTGTTAATAGGGTCCATTTTGTAGGTGTTCATTAATCAGTAAGAAATTAAAGGGATTCAGAGAGTTTTTGTGATTTATTCAGTACTGAACCCCGGAGGTATTAACCGTACAATTTCGAGTAAAAACTCAATTTCGAAATTGCGGGTGAGACCACGACATAAGACCAGGAACGGAAGTTTGATTCAGTTTTAAGTTACGGGAGCCTTACCCGCAGTTTTAATTTTGTACTTATTTGTGCCGTAAACCACACCACCACAGTTCAGCCTTTAGCAGCAAAACTTTTCAGAATTCAAATGTTACCAACCCTATACTATACATATAAACTATAAAATGTTGGACCTTTTTTGTCCTTTGCTTAGTTTCAATTAGATGTTCCAGCGGTAGTAGATCACAATTTTGTAAAATTAATCTTTACATTAGATAATTTTTAGTTAATAAGTTACCATTCATTTGTATCTGCAGTTTATACAATTAGGAGTAAGAAAACTTATGGTGTAAGATGCAACTTCATGCAACCAATATCATGAAATATTTGTGTGCAGTAAAAGTGCGGAAAGATTTGAGTTTGCTAGTCCGAAAGTTTCAAGAACACGAGAACTAATGGAAGCGTAATTTCTAGATCTGCCTTTTCGTTTTGCCCCTCCGCCATCGAACTGAATCCAGACCAAAAGTGTACGGTCGCAATAAAAGGCTACAATACGGTACCGTGTTACGTTAACGAAGACTTTTACTGCCACGCTTTGCTCGAGAAGGCAACACATCAAGAAATTATTATGTCATGCAACATCATTGCCACATTTGTCGAGCCTTCCGTTGAGCTAAATAAGACAGAGATGAATTTCGTGAAAAACGTTGGAGTAGATTCAGTCTACCAATCCCTATCTGGTAAAAACGGTGGCACAAACCATATAGTATTAAGTTTTCGTAGATGAGATTGAAATGGTCAACCATACGCCTTTACCGATTACAATGAATGTACTAGCCAAGGACCCTTTCTACATCTCCACCCAGGATAAAGATGTTACGATGTATAGCGTCAGTTTGGCACCCGACGAAAGTTATGGAATGCTCATTAAATTTCGACCATATGGTCAAGGTAACCGGTGCAGCACTATCCACGATGCACTGAAATTGGACTATCACAAACATCCCAAAATTGCAAGTTTCGAAAACGAACCCTTGCGGGATCAATAATTCCATTACTTTAGGACGCTGTCGATTTAACTGGGGAGGTGAACTACCCAAACGTCGCAATACATCCCAGTACGATTTCTTTTGCAATACCTCCAGAGTCAACCGCTTGTGTTAACGTCTTATTAAAAAACATTAGTCCTCTTTTAGCGCATTATAGTTTCGAATGGCAAGAAGACTGCTTTTACGTAAACGAGCTTATACCTGAGGAGGTACTTAAAGGCTTTTATAGTCACGATTATCTTCCTTGTAATTTTAGACGAGTATACCATCAACGAAAGAGAAACTGCGCGAAATTTGTAGCGAATCGGATACTCACTTCGAGCTTGAAAACAAAGATGGAAAGGCGATTTTGGCGTCCAGTGAATTTCTACTGAAAGTAGTAGATTTTGAAGAGTGCTCAGAAGTGCAACTCAAACCTCCGTTGCCATTGATTCACTACTACCAAAGGCCCTATGTTGAACAATATCAAGTAAATAGCTATGTGGAACTTTCCTATGAACTACACCCTAGCATTGAAAAGAACTTGACTTTTCCTGAAGAGAATTTGGAAAATTTAACGGAAATACGCTCACTTTTTCACATCGTGACAAACTACCACGAAGAGCAGATGAGTCACCAAACAATACAGAGTCTGCCATCCTGCAGACCTAAAACACACTTAATATCAAAGTTATTAAATATTGCTCCCAGCAGCGGCACGTTGGCACCTCACGACTGGCAAACCGTATCGGTGATCTTCCAACCTAGCCCAAACACGTTCCTGTCGGCCAAAGTCGTCTGTCACATTAGTGGAGGACCATCCGAAGCCATTAATCTTGAGGGAGTATCAGCGGCCCTTTCCTATAAAATCGAAACTCTTAGCGTAGACTTTGGTAGGCAGGTGAGAAAACCTTCCAGTACATCCCTCTTGTTGAGACTACAATGTAGGTATTTTGCGAGCCAGTTGAAAGAACCGTTTCTTTAAAGAATACGTGCCCAGTTCCGTTTACTTTCAACATCAGTTTTAAGGAAACGAGCGAAGTTCCCACATGTAATTTGACAGTAAATCCACAACAGGGAAAACTGAATCCTGGGGAGACAGGGAAGTTTAGAGTGAAATGCGTGGCGGGTACCACGGGAAAATTTAATAGCTCATTTAATCTAAAGGTAAGGTTACAGTTACACTTAGAATATCATGCGCTTAGCTCTGTAGGTTGGATACTTGCCTAAACAAACTGTGGACGTCTATGGTTTTGGCGATTGTCCCCAGGTTTATTTAGGGGACCGAAAGTCGCTCATCAATGTATGTCCGAAAATCTCATATTCGGCGATTGCGAGCATTACGCCTCAATACCTTAAGTCTTTGAAGAACCTTAACTATACCAGGCGTTTGTTGAACAAAGAAACTTTTGACTACGATTTATCCAAATCCGCAATGAAAACGCTGAAGATGGAGGGCTGGGTTGTGATTTCGTACCAAGTACGTGACTTTCTCATGGTGTTACGTGTTCATGGGATGTTGTAGGAGTTGTACCCGTCCTCAATGGATATTGATTTGGCTGTTGAACGCACCATACTCCGCCAGCATCTCGCTAGCCATCCAGTTGTGTTGTCGAAACATACCAAAGTGCACAAGGCTACAAGTGTACCCGAATTTGTAGTTCCAAATTACGTAGTTGATCTGGGTTTCGTTATTGTGGGGGACCAGGTGGTACACGCTACAAAAGTATTCAACTACGGACCTACGACCACATTCATAAAGGTCAGGACGGTCGGTGGCAAATTGATATTGTCAGATTTTGGCGGTGTGCACATCGAGAGTAATAGGTTCAACGTTGAAGTGGGTCGGATGAGAGAAGTTGGAATTCATTTTCGTCCAACTCAAGAGATGTACAAAGAGCTGGACAAGGAACTTGTGTACGACGTTTGTCTTGATGTAAGTTCCCTTTCAGCATAACATTTTACTGCAGCGAACTCATTTTTCCAGGTTGCTCACGGAGCACGTATACCAGTATGTATAAGAGCAACAGTGACAGTACCTAGACTCACAAGCAATACATCCCATCTCCATTTCGGGGAGGTTCGCTGTGGTGACATTAAAAAGAGGTCATTGATATTAACGAATAGGTGATTAGGACTAAGTTAATAGTAATATTTCACAAATCCACCTTAGCGGATTTGTTCCCTGCTCCTACACCGCCACTGTTAATCAAAAGGAGCAAAAGACGAAATGGAGAAATGAAGATGGCCCACCGAAGAACGTATTTTTTATCCATTCTATTAAAGACACAGTCAACGTTGGTTGCAAGAAGCTCTTAGACGTGTACTTCGAGCCACAAGTTGACGGCAGCATTGATTACCATCTTACGGTCAGCATTGAAAAGAATCCAGAAAAGCTGCATATTGCACTAAGAGGTGTTGCTAGAATGCCACTGATCAAAATAACGGACGAGGTTGTTAAATTTGAACCAACCTTGCCCTACGATCCTTCGTGTTTCAAAAATGTTACAATTGAAAATACATCAGCAGTGCCGATTGAGTTCTACTTTACAGATTTTGATCTGTGAGTATAATACCTATTCCTTGGCCTGATTGGGCAGGGGCACAGTTGGACAGCGCTCCCCGTTTCTTGCAAGTGCAACCTTTTCGTACCACACACACTTTTTGGCTAAAATTCATTTAGTAAAAAATGGATTTCAGCAATTTGCGTTAATTTTGGAGTTGTTTAAAAAATTTATATTTTCAATCTTACTTTTTTTGGGTTATGGAGGACCAATTCATAAAATATTTTAATGATTTACCTACCAATTAAATTTCCGTGTCACGAAAATCAGCGTAGTCGCTGGAATGTTCTAGTAAGATTATTATTAAGAAGCGAAAGACTTCTACGAGCTTTGTTTACACTTTTTGGACCCCAAGTTTTTCACACTCCTGATATGGAGTGCAATTTAGCACAAAAAAGCCCAAAACTAAAGAGCATAGCTCAATAAATCCTACTCGCGTCCAATCGTGCACCTCAATTCTAAACCTTCTGGCACAAATCATTAAGTTTCTAATCATATACTTCAAGAGCAATTGATACAGAAGACAAAATAATGAACTTATTATTCGAATACTACTTATCAAACCAGCTGACCATACCACCAAGAAGACCTGGGCAAGCTTTACCAAAACAATTCCACGACTTTTATGAAAAGGTTTTGGACAGCCTTCACAGGAAATTAATCAAGGTATCTATGAACAGCCCGGATGCGAAACACACAAACTCATTGGACTCCTCAGCGCAGACAGTCACCAGTAGCAAACGGCACAGCCATTGGAAAAACAGTTCGTATGTCAGGTTAGTAAACCTTTCCAATCAGCGAAATAATTGCACACAAATCCACTTTTTTTTCCAGATCACAATCTCTCGACATGACCACTATGGGTTCTACATCATCCATGCTTCCGAAAGATCCTTCACAGCTGCATTTACTAGTGAAGGGTTAGTTATGCTCAACGAGCACTTGAATTTCTTAATTTTGTCCGACAGCACACCTAGAAGAATTCGTGCAGCAGGAAAAGACAAAGATAGATCCTGTAGCAGATGCTATCGCCGAATACGTACAATCCATTGACAAGAAGCAACCGCCTCGAGTTAATGAAGGCGTTTTCCTCATTTTTCACGGTTACCAAACAACAGGTGAGTTGTTTTTGTACGTGATACATATCGACGCGCTTTTGCAGACTACGTACGATCATCCTGTAAAGTAGGATTGGAACTTTCATTACCGGTGTATAGCATTGATCAGTTATTAATGGAAGGCATCGCCGAATGCAGCACAATGGTAGCTGTGACCGTTAAAACCATTATCGAAAATGAGTACAAGTTAATCGCGCAACATCACGATCTAACAAAACTGAGCAGTTACGAACTATTGCAGCTGCAAGTTAATTGTATCTTAGAAGAGCAGATGAACCCAAAAGTTGCTAAGAAGGACAGCAAAAAAGGGAAGAAACATACAGAGCAGGGTACGGCTACGTTTCTTGGAATAAGTGAAGTCTTACTTTTGGATGTGATTAAAAGCAAACTTCAAGCTTTAAAGACTGGAATAGTTGTCGAAACACTGAATAGCGTCTTTATAAAGCTCCCGGTTCAAGCTTTAACCTTTCTGCTGAAAGCTATTGGAAACGCGCGCTACATTCACTGCTTCGTTCTAGCTTTTAACTATATACAAAGCAATCACTTTAAGGCAACTCAGGAGAAAGCTCAAGAGGAAAAAAAGGTGCAGGATCGCCAAGCACAGCTGTCAAGAATACTTAAGCTAAGCACAGAGGAACTGACGACCTTATCGGCTGATGACTACGAAATTTATGCCACATACTATTTGAAAGAACGTAGACAACGTACCTTGTGCAAAAGAGAAAATTTGCAAAGGTAAGCCCGAAAAAAACGTACGAGATTTTTAACAGTTTCACTACAGAAAAGGGTTAGCGCATCCTTCTAAAGTAAAACGTAAAGAACCCCCCCAAAAGACATCCAAAAAAGATGAAGCAGTGCCAAAAAGTAATGCCAAAAAGGGGACTTCTAAATCTACCTCCGTGGTGGACACTTCACATGGTACCGGTTATGTTGCTGCACGCACGTTGAAAAACTAATCGTTTATGGTTGTAGGTTCCTTGAAGTCACACGATCAAAACATTAAGAAAACGTTCGAAACTTTCGAGTCCGATTTAAAGCACATTTTACATTTACTAGAGTATTGGGACCGAAAAACTGGCACGTGCACGAAGGTATGTAAGGATAAAGTCACGCTACTTTCAACGGGTAGCTTTCAGTCCCTACCGCAAATCACACCAGCTACCTCGAAAACTAGTAAGTCATCAAAGACGTCATCAAAGAAATCTTCAAAGACGTCATCAAAGACTACAAGTGTACTCCCGGTAACGATAACCGATCCGAAAGATTTTTCGAACTTAACACCAGAGCGAGAGCTGTATATTCTTCAAAATGGTACCTATATCCGAAACTAGTCTTTGATTGATTATCTTAATGTGACTGTTTAGGTGTTCCGTGTTGGGTTATTGAAAACGCTCACCCTCATAAACCTCTCGACGTTCTATTGTCGAGATACTTGAAGCAAGTTCAAGATTTGATTAAGGCCAAAGACAGTTTAGCGGAAAGCTTGAAGGAGCATGTCAAAGAAACGGTCGTAGTTCGATCGGTTTTAACGAGGACTCATGAACCGAGAGTTAAGAATATGTCCACAATTTTCTTTGTACGAGATGTACTAGAAGCCAATGATCCTATGAAGGTAAACGTACACGCGTTTCTGCAATATCATTTTTGAACCTTCAGATCGGTTCTACAATTGATACAAGAAGGAAACTCTCACGCCCAGTAACCGCTAAGAGTAGCAAGGGAAGCAAAGTTAGAATCAAATCTGCATTATCAACATTGGCGGAACTAACTTCATCGTTAGACCACTCCAATTTAAACGGTATTGTAATTTACGTCAAAGAATATACTACACTAGGTAAACAACGCCTGTATAAATTACACTCGATCATAATTTGTCCTCCAGAATATGTCGTCCATATAAGATTAGCCATACCGTTACTTTGTATGTACTTATTTGTACTGTTTAGTCAAAAGGAAAGCTATTAGCTCTCTTGAGAAAATCGTACCTTCTGTCTGATGATCTGTCTGTACCTGTATACACGGAAAGTGATAGAAATGTTCAAATTCTGATTTTTTTCAATCGCTAGTTTAGGATGACTTCGTACTTAATGCAACCTTCAGTCTTCAAACAGTTCCAAGATTTTGTGTCGAAATTGGTTTTTTGCCCATAACTTTTGATTGAGACGTCTAATCGAAAAAGTACGAATCGTTTTGGATTCTACGCACCCAAATTAATAAGAAAAAGTTTTTTCCCGAGAAATTTTGGTGTAGTTGATTTTTGGTAAAAAAAAGGAAGGTTATTATACACTGCCTTTTTTTTGCCCCGAAAAAAAAATTGTCTCAGATCGACCGGAAAAAAATATTTTCTTATAGAATGTGGCCTGTAGACTACATAAAGGAAATAATCAGTTATAAACATACCTTATCGACGTAAATTTGGCAATGTTCGGCCTGGTTGGAACCTTACCCCAAGGGAGGAACTTTGATAGGGCGTTTAGCTAAAGAATTACATGAAAAAACGGTGTAATATATACCAAGGGAATACCGTATGTTTTAATCCCGATGGTATAGCTCGTCCAAGGGATTTGGTATCCAATGTAGTGCTGTGATACATGCGTTATTTTTTCTATTCCAGAATCCAGCAATTAATTAGGTACACCAATGTAAATATTAAAATGCGAAATTGAGAGACTTTAATAATAATTTCGTATCGAACATTGTTTGTTGCCTATCCTCTAAAAATCTTCAATTGTTAGTGATTTTACTAATGCAAATTGATTGTTCCTGCATCTTTTTATTTCCTGTCTAAATTCTTTGGCCTTCTCTCTTATCAGTATGTCGACTTCATTTGAAGATTTTGTACAAAACGAATGTGCAGAAATAAATACAAACACTGCTGAAGAACATATAGGCTAACTATTAATCCCCGAATACAATGCAATATAGGAAAAACAGTCATTACACTATAAAATATGATGCACAGAAACCGTATGCGTATTTGAATGTATTCAATAATTATTAAATTGTATTTGCATTTCATTGTTTAAGGTAATCCCTTCGGAAGGAACAGTGAAGGTTTAATCTTAAGGCACGGGTGCCAAAAAACAATAATGCACTTAATGAAGTTCATACCTTTGTCGTTTACTTCATATTACACTCCTATTAACAGTTTGAATAATATATAGGACTTAAGGGTCTTGGTGATCGTAGTTCATATTGGTTCTTTCTTCTTTTTTTCATCTTTTCCCTCTTCTGTGAGAGGTTGCTGTCCTCGATCCGTCATTCACTCCTGTCCCACAAATCCTCTTCAGTCCTTCACAGTCCTTCCATCTTCTCCTTGGTCTTCCTCGCAACCTTCTCCCCTCCTCCTGCAATCTTTTTCCAACATATCCTGCTTCCCATCTCATTACACGTCCAAACCATTGCAGTGTGATTAGTTTCCCTTAGCTCCCCCTTAGTAGTAACGTAGGAGCCAAGGTACCTATTTGAACTGCCAAGTTCTATAACCAATCTCTGTTTTAGTAGGTTTGTGCTATCAAAACTGCCCTCCGCTCCAACCATTGTTTTTGTTCTACTAATCCTGAGTCCTCCATTCTCGCACCATTCTTACTTTTGCCAGTTCTATTTTCGTTTTAGCCTAACAGATGGTAGGGTAAAAACGAGGGTAAAAAGTTAATTAGTATCAAATTATGACATATATCTCTCCTGTACTCTTTGGTTAAATACACGAGCTAATTGTAAGTTAAGCGGTTATTTGTCCTTAATGGAATTACGACCACCAAATTTTTCTTTTGGACAATACATTATCACCAAATTTCGGCATACGTTTCATTCGATTGCATGGTATTGGCTATACAAACTTTAGGCATACAAAAGGTGGAAGGTAAAAGGTCTAGTCTAAGCGCTCACTGGGTTATGGAAGAGTTCACCTTTGCATCAAATCCCTACGATTCCGGCTTAGAATAAACCATGTTTTGCACTTCATAATAAGAACCATACATAGCATTTTGCAGAACTAGGTATCTAAACGCGAAATAATTCTTGCGTTAACGTTAGATATCTAATGTAGTATAATCTTTATTTACGTGTGCTTTAAACAACAATCCGCACAGATGATAAATTTACTACAAGAATGGTTTTGAAACCTGGAGGAAGCGTGACGTATCGACTGCTCTTTAAGCCGGAACGAGTCGGTTTTTATGTGCACACATTCACTCTGCAAGTGGTCGGTTGGCCAACGCAGTATTTCCTAACCTGTGAGGGTAACTGCGAAATTCCCAAGCTGAATATAGTCCCAGAAATTATTTTCCCAAAAGTACTAAAGAAGCGTACCAAGAAAGCGCTCTACCATAATTGTATATACCTAAGCAACGACGAGGTTTTCGATTTTGGACCGATTTTGGCGCAGAGTGTGGTGGATCCCATGTAAGTAACTATGGTATCAATAGGTTTCACGACCAGCATGATCCATAGAAAAACTGCGAATCCATTGTTTTTAATATCACTTGCATAGCCTACAGTGACTTTATAGGGACAGTGGCGACAACTTATCATAAATCGGCGATATTGGAGCAAACTAATAATAACAATCATAACTAATAGATGGCGCCAACCATTTATCCGATTTACAGCGACTGTAGTAAGTACTGGTTACACCTCTGAGGTTTACACTAACTGATTGTGACGAAACTCTGGGGAATGGTTAGACGCTATAGTTGGACGTACAGTGACTGTGTTAGGGACATGACAACAGTTCTCAGAGATTTAGAAATAGGTAAAGACAAAATTCACAGGTAGAAAAATGTGTTTATTTACAATGGCCAGCAACTGATTTGCTGGCGTATATTGCACTTGAGGCCTTGCGTTTCATTGATCTTATTTTTAACCTGAATGTTACAAATCTATTAATAAATTTATATTTTAACCGGTGACATTCGGGGATTGAAACAACTTTGGAGTTCATTTTCTCCAAGTAAAACTCCTTTAAATTAATATTTTGAGTTGAAACTATGGGAAAAAACTTTTTAAATATCCATTCTAATTGCAAACAAAATGAAAAAATTCTTCTGTACAGAAGAAAAGTGTATTTTCTTTGAATCTTTTAAGATTAGTAAACTTAGAAAACACATTTTTTATCGGTTTTTTGGAACCCACAGCCGCCAAACATCGTGGACATGTTTTTGAAGTTTTCATTATACTGTGGACTAAATATCCACAAACGTTGTACAAAGAATTTAGTTCACTAAAATTTAAATTATATCCATCGTAATTTACTTGTTCTGGAATCTTTACTTCATCATATTTTCGGATAAGATGAGGTAAGGTGTCTAAAAAACCTGACAAAAATTCTCTATCATCTTCATCGTAGCTGCCTCTGATGGGGTTTTTTAAATACTGCGCGACACAAATCAACTTTAAATGGTTTTTGACTTGTAAAGCATTTGGTACTACTTGTTTGCTTCTTAAAACACAAAACAGATTTTCCAAGCAGTCCTGAGTAAACCTACTAGTCAGAATAAACTTATATTGTTTGTTTTCTAGAAGATGTTCTTGGAGTTCTAACAGTGACTGCGTTGTAATTAACACACCTGTCTGCGAAGGTTTCCAAACTTTCTTCACTCCAACTTCTAAAGATTTAAAAATGTGCATAAAATCCTTTAAAAAGGTTATGGAATCCGTATATGCACATTTATTATACTTGCTTAATGCACTCGATGGATGTCGGGATGTCATTAAATAAAACCATTGTTCGACTTGATCCAAAAACCAAGCAGTTGTCAAGTACTCGGGTTTTTTCATTTCTTCTGCAAGAAACTTGAGGGCACTGCTAACATTGTGGCTAATTATGTTGGTAGAAGTAGATACCTTCATCTTATTAAAATGTGATGGCAGCAAATCAGCTTCTGACAATCTTGGTGCCAATTTAAATTCGTGTTCTTCTTGGTATGCCGCCATTTCCGAAATATGATTTGCTCTTATTTCATTGGTGGGCAATTTATATTTTTCTTTTAGCGTGTCGGGTATTCTTATTATTTTATTTGACAAAAGCATAGATTTAATATTCTTAAAAAGATGTGGTGCATCAGCAAACATATATACATACTCATTGTTATTTATTGGGTGGGGAATTTTGCATTTAGTTTCAGAATGCCTTCCTGCCATAACACCCAATGCTTTCCACAATGCTTGATTAGAAGCACCCATATCTGATGTTACGCTTAGAATGTTCAGTTTTAATTCTTCCGCTCTTTTAAGGATTTCCATTATAATGTCTTTAAAAACTGTACCATTCACCGAATTGCTAGTATAATAGTAAGCAACGACCTGTTTCCAACGCACAGTAATTCCACCCAACATAAAAACTAGCACATGAGTTGCTATTCCAGTATGCTCTGGTAAAGTCACATCACCAAAATATTTGGAAAGAGATGAATCGTACGTGTTGCCTGGAGTGATGGCCATTTCGTCTAACACTAAAACACAATCTTTTTCAAATTCACAAAATGATTCAACTTTTGTTTGTAAAAACTCGAAAACTTCAATTAAAATCCCACTATCAAATGTTAGATTCTGTAGTCTTCTTTGCAGGGTTCGTTTTGAAGGAAGAGGATGGCCTTGTTTTAGCAGCTCCTCATAGCCATTCCCTCCACAACTGAATTTGAGTTTGAGCGATTTAGTAATTGTAGAATTTGACCACTTCAAGCCCTTACTTGATCGGTTGCTTTTTCGTTTCTTCAAAACCTCTACTTGATCCTCATTAAAAATATTTCTTAATATAGGATATTCATCTGGAATATTGCTTGCCTTATCTTTTAAGGTTTTGTTTTCCTTCTTAATGTTACATAACATTTGTTTGTACCGTCTGGCCTTTTGTCTTTCTCTTATATACATTTTTTCATATCGCAAAAATTTAGATTTGCAGTCTTTATGAACATCAATGAATGAAGTCGAAGCTGTTAAGGTTGACGGTGACGATTCTCGAATATTTTCATCTAACGTGACAGAAAGGATGTCTGATGATGCCGCTGATGTTGAAGGTTCTGGATCACTGATACCATAATCCGTGGTTTGATCTAAGACATAAAAAATGTATTTTACATCTGCTAGTAGGTATACTACTATACACATTTTGCAATTTTAGAATAGCAATTTATATAACCAGTTTTGATGTTTGTTTACGGAAATTGTCAATGAAAAAGGTATAGGTACAGTAATTATTTTTAAGCAATTGAGTATAAACTTACTTAATTCTTGGACTGACGTATTTTCTGGTGTAGGTGCTTTTCTTGTTAATGTTGATTTGGAGAAAGCAAACATTGTCGGAACAGCATTACATTTTAGTACACGCTTTCCATCTACGCGGGTCTTTTCCCACATCTCGGGACCAAAGTGGACCTACAGAAATAACTAGTTATTTAATAATATATGTACTCCATGTTAATTAAGAAGTGTAAAAGTTATCTCCTAGGACATGATTAAATAAACTTAGAATAAACTTACTTCGCATAAGCGCATTGCATCAGTTGGTTGCCAGATGCCTTTTTTCATTTTGATTATCCATTCCATCCATTCCTGCTTTCTTTTTGGGTCCCTCGGAAATCGTTTCATCAAGAAACCTTTCTTTGCGGAATTGCTGCATCCTTCAGCGGCACACCCACCCATTATATCTAAAAACTAGACACATGTCCTTCGTCAAACAAACAAAATTGTATTACCCAATTAAGAAAATACTTACATTTCTATTAACTTTTAACACACTAAACTACGTCTTTACGTAGAACCGATTATTTGCAATACAAATTTTAGTTTAAACAGCACCTTTAATGACAAATTTCGTAAAACAAAAAACACGTGTAAAAATATTAGCGATTTACATAAAGTCACTAGATATAGAAAGTACCGCAATCATCCGCCATTTTTGGGCAAATTTGCTGCCAACTTAAAAAAATTGACAAATAAAATCTGAATACCTATCATTTTTTATAACCTAACTTCATAGTACTGTCATGTTTTATAAAAATATATACAGATATCTCCAAACAGGTGGAACAATTCCTAACATTAAAGTTACCAAAATCTGGTAACTTCCGCCATTTTTGGGCAAAAATCATGCGTTCTCTCTCTAACACACGAGCCCAATGGATTGCGGTACTTTCTATATTTAGTGACTTTAGATTTACAAATTGTGAGGCGCCCTCTCCCGACAGTTATTTGAGTTAGTATTGTGCTGTCAGCGTATTATCTGAACGTCAAAAACAGTTTCAAACGGTAATGTAAATCACGAATAGCCATGATTTTGCTCCAATATGGCGATCGGAACCAACTTCCAATCAAAAACGAGTACCGGGTTGTCGCCACTGTGCCTATAAAGTCACTGTAGCATAGCCCTATGAAACAATATGCCAAACTCTAATCTAATTTCAGCAAACTGGCCGTTGAAACTGAATTTAACTTAACTAACATTTCATTGATCACATGTGAAGCATCGTGTGTCATACGCTCCAAACCGAGGTCTTTCGTTGTTGATGAAAATGCGCTTACTATACTCCCAGGTTCCACTCAAGTTCTGGACATAAAGGCTATCGCATCGGCAGTGACCGAAACAAATGAAGATCAGCTCTTAATTTCCATTAAGGATAATCCCGAAATTTTCAGCATAAACTTGAGAAGTGAAAGTACGCCACTATCATTTGCCGTCAGCTCCAAGTCTGTGCGTTTCGAACGCGTTCTTGTAAACGACACAGAGGAACGCACACTCGATTTACAAAACCAGTCGTTTGTTCCACTGGCCTGGCAGTTAGTTAACTTGCAGTCTATTTTAAAGAAATTCGCCATATCACCATTGCAAGGCTACATCGAACCTCGTACAACACAAAATGTCAATATTGAGTTTTTCTCTCCCGTCAAACTGGTCGTACCCGATCAGATGATGAAAGTCGAGGTAAGTACCTACGGCAATTTTGGTGGCTTTGGCCATTTACGAAGATATGTTTAGGTTTATGATAAGGATTATAAAAGCCCGATTCCATTACACCTCGAAACAGTTCACGTTGGAGCAGAGGCAATCCAAGTCTCCATTGACTGTCCACGCACACTTAACTTATACGAAGTTAAAGGTCAAAAGGAACTTATTATTCCATACACATTGATCAGCACAGGAAAATATGGGGTGGAATTTACGTTAGTAGAACTATAACCAATGTGGGATTCTAACTTTGTTGCAGGTTTTTGCCGGTCTCCAAACAAGAGGATCCGAATCGGAATCAACGCAAAACACTAAGAAGTTCCTTCACCGCAACACCTTCGTCAGGAATTTTAAGGACGAATACACCATTTGACATCGTTATCAAGTTTTTAGGGACAAAGCCTATCAAAGTCAAAGACGCGCCCGTTTACAAGGTGACCTTCGTCGATCAAGTCTTTAAAAAGTTTATCGACTCATTCCTACTCACGGCGACTCTAAAAACGGAGTTCTCTCTGTGAGTTTTTCAAAACTGCAATCCCCACCGCCAATTTTCCAACACAGCTTCGAATTATTCCCGCCCACCGAGCTCAACTTTGGCTACCAACTGTTAGGAATCAACGCGACGCAGACCATCACCGTTTCGAATTGCGGTAAATTTGACTTTGACTACCAAGTGCTTAGTTTGAAGGAGATCTTGGAGGCAAGGCACAAGTCGACTGTCTCCGATAAGTCAGTTACTAAAAAGGGAAGCTCCAAACCGGAGAAGGCATCTAAGGCATCAAAGAAGGGGAACGCGGACAAGTCGGAGAAAGGCGACACGTACGGATCTCCGCGCGAACGTAGAACGATCATTTTTCTTGTAGAAAAGCGAAGATTATTACGACTTTAGCTGTTGGTGAGTTCACACTAACTCCATCGTCTGGTACGGTTAAAGCTGGAACAGTTGCGACAATTTCCGTAACCGCAAGAAGTAACCATTTGGGCACGGCTCAGGAGGTGGTTGTGGTCAAGGTTAGCGAAACTGAAGACGCCGACAAAGAAGGGAGACAAATCACCCTCTCAATAACTGCATTTCTACCAACCGTCAACTTTAGCGACTACAACGCCATTTTTCGAGAGCAGTTTGTTGTTGAGTCCATGACTGCATTTGAAAGTAGCGGTTCTGTAAGTGTTACTCTCTGTACCTCTTACTTTTTACTTTTATTTTAAGAACAACACAAAGGCCGTTTTTATTAAAAATGACAAGCGACTTCACTTCCCAAACGTGCCTATTAACACGAAAGCGCAAGCCAGAATTCGATTAGAAAATGTCAGTCCCGTGCCTGCCGATCTACAATGCGTAATAAGGTCACGAGAAGAGTCTAGCTTCATAGTAGCACCTGCTAGAGTTAACATTGAACCATACTCTACAAATTATACCACAGTGACCTTCCAACCCAGTAGTATTGAGGTAAGAGGTTCATTGCACTGAAGGTAGGGCGCTGGCATTCTCTCCTAGAGGATGGAAGGTTCCTTAAGTATCCAGTACTACGGCGTCGACGCCTCGTATAATGCTAATCGCTTTCATATCACATTATCGGGTGAGGGTGTAGTACCAGAAGTGGCAATAACTTCGCCCAAATACGATAGCAGCATCGGCTGTTATGTCGTCAATTTCTCACCCACATTCATCGGTGACACAGCAACCGACAGCATTACCATACAAAATATAGGAGCAATTCCATGTCAAGTTATACTTGAAGTAAGTGATGACACTATGAATGTCTTCAGCATAGCAGCTCATCAGCACACCAAGCCAAAACTAAAAATTCAAGACTATGGTAAGATGACACTTTTGTTTCTCGTTAACAAGCTAAACTTACAGAAGGAGTAAGTCACACGAACTTAGTCCACTTGAACGTTGAAGAATTAGGAGAATTTTATCTTCAGTTTCAACCAAATTTCCCTGCGAGTTTCAGTTGTGTCGTGAAACTGCATCTCATAAACAACCCCTATGAAACGCGCATGGTAGCCGCTGCTTAAATGTTCACGATTTGTTAAAAATTCATTTAAGATTGCGGTCACTGGCTTAGGATACACGGATAGCGTGCGGCTGAAGGATTTGGGTACTTGCGCGATTAAAAAAAGCTCCTCTTCTACCTCAACGCTAGAGGAAGACATTATTGCTTATACAATAGAATTTGGCGCACTTGCCGTAAACAAACCACGCAGAAAGTGTTTTAAAATTGTCAACGCATCGCCCACTCAAACCTATAAATTTGAATTTGTTAATTGGGATAAGGTTTCTTTCGTACCAAGCCGAGGCCATCTTAAGCCCGCGGCTTGCAAGGACGTCATTGCAACTTTTAAGAGTAAAGAACCCTGTACCGTGGAAAAGGTAGGTGATTTTACCCTGGTTGTAGAATAGGACATACTATTTTTATACCTTAGATTCCTTTACTATGCACCTTGTGCCAAATTGAGTATGTGGATCCTCAAATTGAGCTACTGTCTTGGGATGATAGGCAAACTGTCGTTCTTTGGGAAGATCAAAAATGTTTGTCGTCGATGAGCGTTTTGGAACATAAAGCTGTTTCGGGAAGGTAACCAATTCAAGTTATTCAAAATTCCCAAACCACTCTTGACCTATTTCTGAAATTGTTCGTTACTAGAAAAGCATGTAGTCTATAACAATGGTGTTGAAAGTTAATTCCTAAGAAAACTATAATCGTATATCTTTGGTTTTCCTCCTGTATTTAGAGCTTGTCGCTTTTTCTTATAATAGTCAGGTTCAAACGTGATAGCACGAAGTTTTCTTATTTCAGTCAAACTCAAAAACTCCTTTAATTTTGGGGTTGCTTTAGAAGTGTTATGAAATACTACTCACTTCTCGGCTAGGCGCCACATATGAAAAGTAATACCATTGTTTATTCATTAAACAAAGGTAATACTATGCGATTAATAAATCTACTATTACGTTACTCGTTCCAAAAACTTTTTCACATTTTAAAAGAGCCCTGAGTGAAATTCATGATACCTACCCCATTGATGCTGTATAGGGATACTAATAGCAAAGAGTCTTTGCTAATAGCTACGTGCCATATTACACCCTGAAATTTCAGATAAAGCAAAGTAGGTAGGCTCAGGCAAAGAGAAAAAGAAATGTTTCCTTTGCTGAAAGTACCTAATATGATAAACAGTTTTTTAATGTTATGCAGTGCACTGAAGTCATAATTTTGTGGTACCCTTGTGGAGGCTACCATATTCCTTTTATCGGTACAAACCTCCGACGTCCCGTTCGGAATTCGAGTGCATAATTTTTCCTATGAAAAAATATGGTACTTTTCTGGAACGTTTTTATTATAAAATGAGAAACATTTTATGCTTCCACCACACCACGTTTTAATAATCGGAAAATAATCCAATTGCCTTTCTTATTTTTAGCACAATGGACGTAGTGCACCCAAATAGCACATCTACAACAAAAATTGTTAAAGATAAAGACGAACCATCCACCAACATCATCCCTGATACTAAAAAATCGATATCAATACTAATTTCAGCAACTTGCGACCACTGCTCGTACAATGTGTCGCTTGACGAAATTGAATTTCCCGATACTTTTGCATTTGAGGTATGATTTTTTACATTTTTACAAACCAGTGTTTTTGTGGTTTTTAGCGCAAAACTGCCACATTCGAGATTACAAACACCTCGAATGTTTATCTCGAAGTTCGTTGGAATATTACAGTGGAAGAGAATTTGGAGATGAATTCACCTGTTGAAGATCCTTCTTCCAACACGTTTGAAGTAGCATCTAAGCCTAGAAAAACGTCGCGTCCAACTCATCTGAGCGGAGCGGGTAACTATCAATCGCAGTGGCGCACTGTTGCATTTTCCATTCCAGAAAAGTTTCTATACAACGATTCGCTTTCGGGTAGCTCTGCAAAGTTTAGCTTATTTAGTGAGGAAAGCAACATTTCATGGTTGGATGATGGCACCCCTCCATTCGACCTAGCGCCAAATCCCGCGTCGGTGGCTCCCATGGAGAGCCAAAAATTCGTCGTCACATTCTCACCTAAGTCCATAGCCGAGTACTTAGCGCACGTTACAGCCAACATTTCGAATCTTCCTCCATCTTCGGATCAGTTGGACATCAAAGTTAAGGCGAACAGCCTCCTTCCAGCATTCTACTTCAACGTCGAACCAAGTGATTACGTGGTTAATCGGAGGAAGGTGTCTGTCACGTGTGGCGACTTGGTAAATGAAAACACGGAAGTTGTGGAGTTTGAAGCTGTTGGTTTAGCTGTGGCAGTAGAGAGGTACCTACACTTCACAATGGTGCCAGATACTAATAGCACAGATTTATCCATGTACAAATGTTACAGGAGCTTCTATGTGGTCAATCCAACTGAACAAACCCTTTTATATAACTGGACGGAAGCATTTCCGAGTACAAGTGAAGTCTCACTGTTTTACTGTTGCAAACCTCAGGGTTTAATAGAGAAAAGGAAGAAAGCTAGCATGACGTTTAGTTTCATGCCGCCGTCAACTGGAACTTTCGAGGCGTTTTACATATTCAGCGTGGACAAACACAAGCTTACCAAAACATTTTTAATGGTTGGTCACGCGAGAGAACCTGTCGTCTTCTTCGCCAATCCCTACCTTCAAATTCGACCAAGTGTTATCGGAGTGGACATAATCGACAGCACCTGTATAAAAAACAATGAAGATTTTGAAATTGATTTCAAGTTTGAAAAGGAATCAATATATGGGGATGCTCATCAACAGAAATTAACAGTGGTACCACTCAAGGGCAACATTGGACCACACGAGGAAAAGAAGATCTCGTAATTTCTCTCACTTACGTAGCGCATCACGTTAAATCCCAATTTCAGTATTACTTTCCACCCCGTTAAAGTGGGTGAGGTGGGTTTTAACTTAAAATGTTCCATCAGTAAAATGAAGAATCCTCTTCTCCTAACTGTAAGTGCAACCTGCTACGAAATTCAATCACAGGTTTTCTATGAGACCGGCGTTGGCAAGAAAGTGTTCTTGCACCCCAGTGAGCCTAACATGTTGGAACTTAAATCGGTGAACGCACTTTCTTCGTCTCCCTAATTTATGACGAACGTTTGCAGCTAGCTCCACTGTTAACTCAAGATATTATATTCACGATGACGAACATCGGTGAGATAGGTTTCTACTACGCTTGGATTCTGAAGGAAGACTTGACCACGAACAAGGTGGACATAATCTTTGAGCAAGGCAATGGATTTGTGCCGGTTACTTCGGAAAAATCAACGAGAATGTGCGTCACTCCACTCACGAATGTATCCATCAAAAACACGATCATCAAACTACAGGTACGTACGTTTCTGTACGTTTGCATTTTACGCTATCGTTTGTAGATTCGATATGGACTCACGTACACTATTTACCTTTCTGGTGCAACCTCGCTACCTTTCTTCAATTTCTCTGTCAACGAGTATAACTTTGGCATCTGTCTGGTACAGAAAGAAATGACGGATTATTACAAAACAATTGTAGAGTTTAATAATGGTGACGACGCGCCTATTACGTACGTTTGCCTCAACCCTATTCAACTAATAAGCAGTCCTGTTTCAGGTTGGAATGCAAGCAACCTGAGGTGGACTTCTTAACGGTCAAGTTTAAATCGAAACAAGTTCAAGGAAGACAAACTGAGCCGATCGAAGTTCACTTTCACCCCTTCAAAGTGCAAACCTACACGATCTACGTTACATTTTACGTTAACTCAAGACCACACGAGCTCTGTTTTCGCGGCGAGGGTGTCGCCAATTCTGTGCTTCTCGCGAATTTCAGTGATAAGTTTCTAAACTTTGGCGAGGTGGCGGTGGGTGGATCGAGTAAGAGAGCCGTTTCCGTTCTAAACAATAGTGACGCGTACATCGACATTATTTTCGATCTACCCGATTGCTTGCCGATTTTTTCGAGGCCAAGAAAAAGGCTTGAACCTCAATATGAGCCCGGTAGTATATCGTCGAGTAAATCAAAACAAAGTCCTCGACTAGGGTACAGCGAAAAGTAACGATAATTCCAATGATACCCAAAATATTATTGCAGCAAGAAAGACGGTCAGCTCGTGACCATTGTGCCGAAGAAATTTACCAGGGTCCCACCTCATCAGGCTACCCAGTTTATTTCCACTTATACACCAACCGAACGTATGAAAGCGTTTTCGGGAAAAATCGCCTATCAAGTCCAGGATATTGTTGAAACTTTGTGCACGTTTAAAGGCTCTTGTGTTGGTCCCGACTATACGCTGGACAAGACCATCATTCCGTTCGGTTGTGTTATATTGGGCTACAGCAATAAGCAGAAGGCCATGTTAAATAATGTAGGGGACGTTGGTGGGGCGTAAGCTTAAATCGTTCAGAAAGAACGGGAGATTTTAGTTGATTTGCAGTTTCAAATGGACATTTGAGAAGTATCACCCTTGCTTTACAATCACTCCCGAACATGGTTTCGTTTCGCCTGGTACCAGTGCAGTTTTTACCGTACAGTTTAATCCATCAACTTTGGGAAGTGTATTCGAGGCAAAAGTATAAGGATAAATGAATGATTATAGAAAGTGTACGCGTGGTTTCAGATCAAATGCATTATCGGTGGATACAAGAAATCCTTAGAGATGCAATTGTCGGGATCGTGCATAGGAATGCCACCCGCTGTTGAACGAATAGAGTTTGAGTGCCCTGTCCGTAGCTCGACTAAGCGTTTTATTAACATCGAAAATCCGTAAGGCTTTTCTAAAGATTTGCACTGTAACGATAAAACCATTTAAGCTCTGCTCAAACTTGGAGAGTAGCAACAACAATAGAAGGTCAATACTTTATATCCAAAAATGTTTACGTAGTAAAACCAAAGTCAGTATTGCCATGTGAGGTTTCATACTCTCCCTTAACCATGACTGGGAAAAAACCACATCGGGTAAGTTATTGTCGAGAGTATAGAATTCCTGTGTCATTCAAATATAATTCCAACATCCCATTTCATCCCAATCCCCACTATAAATAATCAATATAGCACATATAAAGTTTACAAAAGCTCAACCCGAAGTGCTCGAGACTAAATAGAAGTCACCCTTGAAGCAAGTCTCATATACTCGAAAGCACCCCATTGATCACGGTATAAATTTGTCTCCAATAATTTTCCGGGGAAAATTCGTCCTCGTAATATCGCCTCCGGAATGCTTGCTCTCGGAGGATTTCCCTCAAGGGAAATTCGCCCGCAAATACCTATACCTCATCAATGAAGAATGTACGATCGGAAAAGCCCGACCTGAAGATTGGAGTTTAACAAACTCGCCATTGAATAAATGCTATTCCAAAGTTCTATTTTATTTCTGTTGCAACATTTGTACAGTAAATTTGCCCCCAAGAAGACTAACCTCCAGTTTGGAATATAAAATTCAAGTCTATTCTTATTGTAAGCACTTTAGAATTAAGTATATACGTATAGATATTCCTTCAAGGGGAGTTTTCCGAAGACCAATCATTGCGAGTGAATTCCGTATAACAAGACACTCTGGCGGGGGCGAGTTTTTCATGATCGATTATTAGGGGAGCGAATCTTTCGGTGTCGAAATTTCCGAGTCAGTGGTCCTTAAAAGCGTCTAGGTTTCTTGGTGATGAATATTCCGGGATGAATTTTTTGAGCCGAACTTACCATACGCGATCTTAAATTTTACAACACAATTTTATTAATATACAGTGTGTCCCAGATCGGGTGGGATTGCATGGGTAACTTTGTTATTATTAAGGATAGAGAATTGGTTAAATGGGCAATGTTTTGCAGTTTTAGATGCTTATTTAAAATTTCCTTTTGGAAATTCAAAATGTCGCATAGGTTCGACGTAAATTCAAAAAAACTAAAATTGGTCATTTCCTTGAATGTCTTATATCATCGAAAGTATAAGAGATATAAAAAAAGTTTTATATAAAAGTTACTGTCTTTGATACGTTTAATTTAGAATTGATGTCAAAAAAATTCAAGATGGCTACTTTTGAGGAACATTTACCAACTTCCTAAAGTTAAATAGGCGCCATATGGGATTTTTAGATTACTTGATAGATTTTTTAATTCTCTTTTCAACGAGCCATCAAAACATAAGATTGAAAATAAGATACCAGTTATAAACTCGGAATTGTACAGTCGTGTAATGACGTCATTTTCGTGGGAAAAAACGTATGTCCTATTAAATTTATTTGTTGCTAAGTAACTGACTACTGGTGTCTAATTACCTGTATGACTTTTACTATACAGTGGTGTACATAATATTTTAGCATTTTTTGATAATAATTAAGTCAATTTCCACAAGAAATCTATAGGTCTTAATAAAAGAAGAAGTCCTAATTAACTGACTGACTGACTGAGATATCAACGCACAGCCTAAACGACTGAAGATATCGAAAATAAATTTTTAACATGTTAAAAAATGCGAATAGTTCATATTTTTTGCGAGCGAAACCGCGATGGATAAAATGTTAGTATTTCAAAAAGGTCATTTACTCACTAATTATTTTAATAACTTGCTGAACTAACATATAAGTAATATTAACATATTTTTGTTTTTAAATAAATAAAGATTAACAAAACGAAAATCACAGAATATTATTTAGGAATCAATACTCCCGAAAAGACCCAAAAAATAATTAGCAGAGGAGTACATAAAAATTCAAAGAACCACTATCGAAACCACATCTACACAAGAAAAAATTGCACTACCTTGATGAATAGTTGGAAAATCAAAATCGTAAAACAAAAATATACCAATGCCAATTTATTGCGATTGTAATGGTCACAGTATTAGAAGAAAATTAGTCGCCCTCGTCCGTATCGTCAGAGTCAAAATCAAAGTATTCGTCGTCAGTAAGGTCGTCATCTGCGTCTGTAGTGATAACAAGAGGTGGGATGTCAGAAGCATCACAAACTTGTACTGCTCCCCAAGCCTCTTGTATTACTTTGTCCGTATGGTTTACGTATTTCTCCCAATTATCCCTAGAAATCTCCCCGATAACCCTTTCCCATGTTGCCAAAACCTCTTGTGGTGATCCCTTAAAATTTGCAATGTACTGATCGTATTTTCGTTTACACTGAGACCACACCATTTCAATCGCATTAAATTGGCAGTGGTATGGCGGTAACCGTAAAATTTTATGTCCTAAAGGCTTAACATATTCATCAAGGTAGTACTTTTTCTCTTTGGGACAGTTTGCGCTGACAATGCTCCATATTTGATCCTTCATTGCCTTTTCTGGATAGCCGATATTTTTTTCCCCTAACCATTCTATCATTCTTTGTTTTGTCCATGATTTGGTGGGAATTTTCTCTAAAAGGCCAGAATGGTAGCTTGCGTTGTCCATAATAATTAAGGTTTTTCAGGAAGATTTGGCACCAGTTGAGTCTTGAACCAATTTTCAAAATTACCCCTGTTCATATTATCATGATAGTCCCCTGTTTTTTTTCCACTTTTAAAAATCAAACTTGCCCCACCAATAAAGCCATCGTTCGTCCCAGCGTGGACAATAATGTATCGATGACCTAAAGAATATCTCTTTTAATAATATTGAAAAGGTATTATAATATCTTATTTTACCTTCATTGGGTTTAATTGATTCCGTGTGCTTAGTATCATCTTGCCAGCTGTTTCGAAATGATCCCTTACTAAATATCCAGGTTTCATCCATAAAAACCGGAGTATAACCCTCATGTCCCAAATTTTTGTTTTCAATGTACTCCCTTAAAGTAGTTAGAGCGCGTTCGGCTGAGGTCAAGTCATGTACTCGGCCTATCTATTACTTACGGTAAACGTCCTCAAAAAAATGTTGTTATGAAGGAAACATAATTAGAAATACGGTATGAGTGGTATTTTGTACCTCAGCACAATGCAAACGTCTTACATGAATTTTAAAAAGGTATATACAGTAGTCAACTTGACTAGTCTCCCTACTTTTCGACCCTGTTTCAAACCTTTGCACACTAAATGTTGACGACACACCGCGACTAAATATTCACAGTGTAAGCGGTAAATCCTAAACGAATATATTTATTTTTAATCAAAACGTATGCGAGACGTATGTAAAATCCGGGAAACTAAACAATTTGGCGTTTTACGTGAAGTCGGTGTAGTGGATTTGGTTTTTCGATGTTGGCGCCAGAGATCCCCAGCCGCTATCTTGATCTAGATCCGATCAGTGTGTCAACAAGACGTGTGCAGGCCTTTATAAATATCGCTGGTTTTGGCGTTCTTTCTGAAAGACACCATGCCTTTTGTGAAGAAAAGTGCTCAGCAGACGAAGGAAAAGATTGTCCTAGCTCAGCTATATACTAGACCTAGTGGAAAAGTCATCAGATTTAAACGCGTGCTGCATAGCGTGCCGCCGCGTCAGAGCAGACGCCGCTTCGGCGGTAAATATCTTCCTTATTTCATCATGAACACGTACTTTTCCGTGCATATTTAGATTTGTCACAAAATTTCGCTTCTAATGAGACCCATCGCATTTAAGTCTTGATACAAAACCGTTCGCTAGCTCAAAAAAACCGAGTGTGTCCATAAGAGCCCATGTTAAAATACCCTGTTTTTACTGTCAAATATCTCAGAAACGGCACATAGGAACAGTTTTTTCTTTTGACCATTAGAAAGTGCGTCTCTCAGAGAATAAGTGACCAAATTTTCACCAACTTCTTGTTACTTTTACCTAGGCGCTCTAACTACTTTAAGAATTTTATTCGTTTGTGGACAATATCCGGTAAATCCATAAGATATTTTCTGTTATTGGACTTCTTCCATTTAAAACCCATACTTTTGATCCACTTTCTCAATGAATCAATGGAAAATTGAAAATATTCGTTTTGCTCCAGAAATTTTTGTCTAATAGTTGCCAGTGTAACATATTCCTTTTGGGAGTACATATAATAGATTGTATCCCGAATTTTATACTTCAAATATTCTGTGATTTTCGTCTTGTTAATCTTTTGCTTGGTAGAGACATTAGATGCGTAATCTTTGTCGGATTTTACACCATTTTTTCTCAAATTTGAAATGGTTGTTGGGCTGACTTTCGTTGCTTGTGCAGTTCGCTGTATAACATTGTTGATGTCTAGTGGTATGCCATTCCGAACTTGTTCCTGTTCAATTTGAAAGAAAGCCAACACATTTAGAATTATTAACTGTGTTTGTTCGTTAAATCGATGAGGGTTTTTTGGCGGCATGTTTTGACGCTTTGGCGTTTTCAAAACTTCAAAACTGACAATCACTTGACAAGCATTTCAGGTAAAATTTAGCCACGACAACAACATTTCGGCAAAATTTTTTGTCATTGTCATTTTACATTAGTTAAACAAGGATAGACAAAAATGACGTCATTACAAGACTGTAAAATTCCGAGTATATCAACGGTTTTTATATTTTAATTAAGTAGGCTGTGATGAATTAAAAAAAAACAAAACAAAATCTATTCGAGGCAACAAAACAATGAAAATAATTACATCAGATGTTTAAAAAAATCAGGAACGCACTCATGAGAGGGGGGTTTGGGCATTACAACTCCCTCCAAAATTTTATATAAGCATTAGGTCTAGAAAAATTTGATTTTTATAACATCACTTATTGACTTATTACCCATACTTACATACCTACAAATGGTGGTATTACTACAAACTATCCCCTCGAAAAAAGTCATGCCATTATCCAGTTAAAGACATTTCAAGACACTTCGCTTTATTTTACACAATGTATTATTGATGCATTGTCCCAAGTCACATTTTGTAGGTGGTTTATCCGCAAGAATATCGAAACTAACAGTTTTACCAGTCCGAGTATATGGACAGATGAATCTTATTTTTCTAACTGCGAAGTGTTCAAATCGACATTATGAACACTACTCGTTACAGGAAAACCTACATGTTGTAGTTTCACGCCGAAATCAAGTAATATTTTTTTAAATTAATGTATTTTATGGCATAATGGGAAGTCATGTAATTGGACCGGTATTCTTCGATGGATCTTTAACTGCTCACTATTATTTACAAATTCTCCAATAAACTTCCTTAAAGGATTTTTCTCGACAACGTATGTTTCGAAGGAAGGGTTAGTTTATGCTACCCACCAACAAACTGGCTGCTCAGGTCACAATTCACGAATTATGTACAGTACATTAAATTATAAAAGTAAGTACCTACTTAATTAAAAAATAAAAGTAAAGTGGAAGTAGCTACCACTACAATAATAATAATAATCATCAATGGCAACACGTTGCCTAAACTAAACTGTCTTGACTACTTGATTAAAATACAAAAACCGTTAATATAACTGGTATCTTATTTTCAATCTTATTTTATAATAGCTCGTTGTAAAGAGAATTTAAAAATCTATCAAGTAATCTAAAAATCTAATATGGCGCCCATTTAACTTTAGGAAGTTGGTAAATGTTCCTCAAAAGTGGCCGTCTTGAATTTTTTTTGACATCAATTCTAAGTTAAGCGTATCAAAGACAGTCACTTTTATATAAAACTTTTTTTTTATATCTCTTATACTTTCGATGATATAAGACATTCAAGGAAATTTTAGTTTTTTTGAATTTACGTCGAACCTATGCGACATTTTGAATTTCCATAAGGAAATTTTAAATAAGCATCCAAAACTGCAAAACATTGCCCATTTAACCAATTCTCTATCTTTAATAATAACAAAGTTACCCATGCAATCCCACCCGATTTGGGACACACTGTATACGAGTATACCAGAAAGTGCAAATTTTTGCGGAAGTAAGAGAGTTATGGGGGGAGCGGTGAAGTAAATGAAAAAAAAAATGCGATTGTTAATGGGAGATTTTTGCACTGAAAGGAAGTATTTAGAAGGGTTGTACGAGCGGTTTACTCATGTACGCCTGGGTCTCGAAAGAGCAGAATATTCGATCTTTGGATAAGAGATGAATTCGTTTTTTGAGCCAAAATATCATAGATAAACTGTGCTTACATTAAACTGACGAAGGCATCGAGATTCCAGATAACTGGTTTCGACGAAGACGCTTTTCACATCCCCTCTGCTAAAAGCCATCATCAGAATGATTTTATTTTTTCCAGGCGACCATTTTCTTCGCTTATCCCGAAGGACTAGGAGTACTATACGAATTAAGTGGACGAACCACGCCTCCGCTGGTAGTTGACAGAATACAAAGAGAAATTACGTGCAAGACGTTGTATAAAGAAACATTAATTGTTAAAAATTGGCAAAAACGTCCGCAATCATTTGAGGTTATAACCGAAAATTCGAGCCCAAGTCCCATTTTGTACAAGTTGGAAGGCAATCCCAGCATTGAAGTATTGGGTCAGAGTGAGAGGCCGTACACATGGTCGATCTATGTGTTAAAAGAAGGGACATTACATTTGAAGGTAAATACTTTCACTGGCCACGTTGTCTTATAACGGAATTCTTCTCTAGGTTATGTTCAGGAACAAGGAAACAAAAGAGTATCTGTACTATGAGGTCATATTAAAAGTTTTGAAAAGCCCTCCCTTGGACGTTATAACACTCAATACTTGTGTTCGGAAATCTCTTACCTACTCCATTACTCTTGAAAATCCACTTTCACGCCCTGTTACATACACGGCTAAAAGTACGGTTCCTGAGCTGAGTTTCGTCAGCCCACAGACAGTCCCTGCCTTATCAGAGGTACAAAGCTATACTTCTGGAGCCATTGATGAGATAACTTTTAGAGTAAATTCGTCATCACATTTCTGCCTTTAACGGAAGGTGAGTCAGAGGCGCACATTGACCTCATTTCGAGTGATCTTGGAATCTACCCATACGATTTCAAGTTAATAACGCGTCCACCTGTTCCTGATCAGCAGCTATTCTTTATCGCGAGGCTTGGACAAACCGCAACTCAAAGAGCTTCCGTGACGAACACTGCAAAAGCTACCACAACTCTGGCGGCCCAGGTAACCCCAACACCAGCTCTCGCCGACCTTATCCTTTTCTTTGCAGTTCACCGAACCCACAGCATTTTTCATAGAAGGCAACATAACAGTTTCTCCCCATACTACTAAGGAATTCCTGGTACGCTTTGAACCGTACGAAATCGGTACTCTCAAATCGGTTCTAACTTTACATTCGCCCGCAACGGGATCCTACGCGTAAACACTCCAAAATATTAGCGCATCCACTTAAATGGACCAATTACAGGTTCACACTAACCGGAACGTGCGAACCGCCCAAGCCTCAGGGACCCTACTTCATCATTCCCGGCGGCTCTACGTCGGTCACGTTTAAAAATCCTTTTCTAGACTCGACCGATTTCCGTTTCGTAGTCGAACCGGCCATATTCAGCCTGAAAAATGACTCGCAAACTGTGTATGGAAGGTGTGAGACCAAGATCGCCATTAATTTGGCGCCCTTAGAGAATTTGGAGATCTTGGTCGATCGCAAGTATTCAATCGCCGGAAAGCTGACGATTTATCCTAGAGAGGAACGTGTTTCTCACATTAAATGGGTTTATTATTTACAAGGTGATCTTAATACTTAAATGTTTAGCAATAAAGATATATGTGCTCAACTGCGCGAGTGAGTTTCTATTAACGCATTCACCAAGAGCTCCTGCGAAATTTCTTCGACAACAGTAACATTTGATTTCCGCTCTTTGGTGTGGTCTAATATACACTGTCCTCGAGTTCTTTTACCATGCAGTTCAATGCTCATATGGTATTCACAACTGCGAAGGACTGCCTCAGGATGCAGCACTATTAAAGCCAGACATCCGTCTGCAGAAGTCCACACATCTTTACCTCCGCCTCCGTTTTTAAATTTGTAAAAGCTTTTCTCGGCGGCAGTAAGAAATTTCATCTCTGGAGTAAGATTGGGCAAAACCTCAAAGCGCCAAGTCTATAATAAGCATTTACTATAGTAAGCATGTACAAATATTGGTAGGTAGTGCTTACCGCAGGCAGTGCAACTTCTAAGACTGGTTCAAACGGCAAAATTGTCGTTGGGCATGTTACAGTGTGTAAAAAACTGTACACTGATTCTGGGTCAAAGTAAAAATTAAACTCGGCCATTAAAGTTACATTTCCCTTCCCTACAAGAATGGATTCTTCATACTTGTCAATAAACCAACTCACCTCTAATAGTGCCACCCATGATAAAGATTTCCTTCAGGTTCATGTAAAAGTCATCGTCAGTTTTGGCGGCAAGGGCTATGTTTGTCAGAGGTCCTAAACAAACAAGAGTTATCAGTCCTCGATTTTCTTTCACTAAGCGTCTGATTGCCAACGAGGATGGCTCATCCCGTAGTATGTCCAAGTTTGCATTGTTAGCATACCCAGTGTTCCCAAGACCATCTCGACCATAATACTGAAGAAAATCGCAATCTTCGGATATCAAGTTCTTAGAGGCTCCTTTATATACGGGGATCTAATAAATAAGATTTTCACTTGAGCATATGTTGCGGTTATACTTACATCAGTTCGACACGCTTTTTCCAAAAGACTCACGACATTTCTGCATCCATTATTTACATCTGTATTACCTGCTGTAACCGTAATTGCCACAATTTTAACCTCGTTTCTCTTCTCGGCCGCCAAAAACATTAAAATTGCGTGTAAGTCGTCAATACCAGGATCAGTATCTATTATAATGTGCTTTATTTCCAACATATTTAATACAAAACAGGTAACCAGTATTCAGGTATAGTTATATCAGAGGTACTTCCTCTATACAAAAAAAAAATGATGTGGTTTGTTTAATTTGGCGTTATCATATAGTTCTTGGTATCTTGTGATTTGTGGCCCCGGGTCTTGTGAAATTCAAAACAGTAGATTTGTTATCGTCGTGGGCCGCTGATTACTATTATCTTGTGTAATCGAGATTCTAGTCAACGTATTTAAATTTACCACTTGATGTTTGCTTAAGCTTAGTTAAGGTAATTACGACACCATGAGGAATACCTTTCCATAAATAATGCATTAAAAATCATAAGATCAAAAATATACTTATACTTACGTATTCTGTATACCTACAGTAAAACAACCCCGAGGGATAACTTTCTTAATAATCTTGTTCAAATTATACCAAATCACATCCTTGTCTTTCACGTATCTGCATCGTACTGTAATGAAAGCAATGCAATTACATAGTCATCAACAGATAATGTACCTTATCGATCTTTTCTTTGGTCGCCCGGACATCTGCATTAAGGTAAAAAAATGACTCCCCAGAAATACAATACCGAAACACAGAAGCTCTACCTTGTCATCCTTCAAGAAAAAAATGTCAATGTTTCGGTTCCAAAAGCAGCTTGAAAAATCCTAGATTATATTAATTAAAAAAGAAGCTATTTTTTTAAGCTTCCCTCATACCGTGGTATACCTATACTTGCCATCCAGTTTTTAACAGATGGCGTTTAGTCCGAAGTACGCTGATTTACACTTTATATAATCCTAGAGGTTAAGGGGAAGAGCAGCTCTCCTGAACTTCGCCTCTACATTGTAGGTTTATTTATTTTACATCCTATTTTATTATAAATAAGGGTGGTATTATTATTATTTTTCAGCCTTTTCTTCTTTTCCTCATTTCGTTTTTTGGATTCCTCACATTTGAGAAAGGAACTTTATCTCTTCTTTGTTACTTTTTACTTGGATTTTGTTCTTTTCATGATCCGTTTCTTCATTCCTGCTAGCGTTTATTTCGCATTGTACCGCCATTTAAGTTTTACGTAAGTATATACAACTGCAAAATGTTCAGTAATGTGACTAAGGACTCTATCTTTCTTCTGTGTATGTCATCACGTGTCATGTTATTATTATTATCTCTTCTAAGACCGTTTCATTTGGTAGTAACTATTGTAGATCCATCTTAATTTTGGTCTAGAATGTTCTTTTCATCATTGTATTCAGTTTGTGCTTTGGCTGGTGTTTACCTTTTCAGATTAATTATCATTATTTTAATTTTCGTTATTGTATTCATAAATATACAAAACCTGCGGAAATTATCCGAAAAAGTTTCTGAACAGGATAATCGAGTGAACAAAATAAAACAAAAACTCTAGTACCTACATTAGCAAGTTAGCAAAAGGTGAAAAGGAGAAGGTTAACGCTCACGGTAAAATGCTCTACATAAATAAAAACCAATAAATGTTAATGTTATTAATCAACGCATTAATTGAGTTATTGAATATTGATATGTAATCAATCTTCAGAAAATAATTAATTAAAGCGTACTAAAATTTGTGTGTGCTATCGAAACCGAAAGTCCGGTAGGTACTTAACCGAAAATGTTCTCATTTCCATTTTATAACTCCTTAATGGTTCATTTCACTTGACACGTAAAATTGCTCTGCATAATCGAAAGTAAGCATAGGTGGATAATGTACTTCCTCAAAATACGAGGAATGTAGGATATTGTGTACGCACTAATAAGCAAGCTCGTACTTGAGATGTAAAGCGACAGTGTAAGCAGCGACTTTGCGCTTCCTTGTTTGAATATTTAAATTTCTACAAGAAAGCATATTAAAGATCTCTTTTATGTTTGGTGCGATTATGTAATAGACGTTGTTAAACATTGATCAGATATCCACTTTGCCACATTACCTATACTCAGACCTGTAAAAGATACTCGCAAAAAGTATCTAGTTACATTATAGTTACTTCTAACAAAAAGTAACTATTTACTATGCGTAATAATAATACTTAATAATAATAATAATGCATTTATTTTCACAGCATGACAACTTAGACACAAAGGCTGAGAGTTTAATAAGGTAGCCAAAGCATATACCTAAGCTGTATGGTGAAAATCACAGGGGATATTGGTTCAGTCGTTGCAAATAGATGCAAGTTCACATAAAAAGTATCTTGACATCGGTATCTAGATACTGTAACTAAATTATATGAATGTATCTTAGGTACCTGAAAGTAACTAAGATACTTTGAAGTACTTAAGATACTTGACAGTACCTGTATAAGTCTAGACTCTAGAGTAAGGTTCGGCATTTTTTAGCGCATTTCCACAAAAATAAAAAAAAAATGCGCTATTGTGGCCACTTTGTCCGTCCGTCCGTCCGTCCGTCCGTCCATCCGTCCGCTAACTTTGCGACGCTACTAGTTTTTTATCTTAAGAGCTATTGTTCTACTTTTTTCGCTATTTGGTTCGTTATGGTGTCGAGTCTTGTACCAAGGAAGGAATTTTTTCTGTACCGCTTACAAAAAAAGTTATTGTAAAAAAAACAAAAAACCGTTTTTTACATGTTCCATAATTTTACACTTTTGCCGTTTATTAACGATCCTAGAGATCGTTTATAATTTTGCATTGCTATCTCTCGCCTGCCGGTTGATCTCTCCGTCTGTTCCTTTGTCTGTCTGTCCATCTATCTGTCCGTGTGAACGATAACTTTGTTTAGAAATGTTCGATCGCTTTTACATCTCCGTTAGTTATGAACTGAATTGCATGAAATTCAATTTGGGCATAGATTTAGCCATATAATACGCAATGCCAAAAGTTGGATCGAATCGATTCAAAATTCACAGTGCCCTTTTCGCATCTCGACCATTTATAAACCGAATTGCAAACTTTTTTACTTATAAAAGTATTTGAATGAAATTTGATACATAGGCACCTGGAATAAAGGAAAATCAAACGCCAATTTCAAAATTTGGTTTTGCGCATGCGCAGTGCCAACTTTTTTATTTATGGAAGAATTTAAACGAAATTTGATACATAGGCACTTGGGATAATGGAAAATCAAACGCCAATTTCAAAATTTGGTTTTGCGCATGCGCAGTGCCAACTTTTTTATTTATGGAAGAATTTAAACGAATTTGATACATAGGCACTTGGGATAAAGGAAAATCAAACGCCAATTTCAAAATTTGGTTTTGCGCATGCGCAGTGCCAACTTTTTTATTTGCGCAGTGCCAACTTTTTTATTTATGGAAGAATTTAAACGAATTTTATCCATAGGCACTTGGGATAAAGGAAAATCAAACGCCAATTTCAAAATTTGGTTTTGCGCATGCGCAGTGCCAACTTTTTTATTTATGGAAGAATTTAAATGAAATGTGATACTTAGGCGCTTGGATACTTAGGCGCTTGGAACAAAGGAAAATCTAACATTAGTTTTAAAATTTAGGTTTGCGCATGCGCAGTTCCAACTTTCTTATTTACAAAAGCATTGAAATGAAATTCTTCTCATAAACTGAAATTGAAGTAGCACGTCAACAATGGATTGCCCATGTGCAACGCTATCTTTCATATTTGTGGCCGGATTTTTACGATTTTAACAGAAGTTGCATCTTACAAATGGGAAATGAATGCAAGTGGAAATGCGCTTTATGTAAATCGTTTACGATTACTATTTAACTTGTTTTATATTTATTGTGATATCACTTAAGAAATTTGTTTATTACCTCAAAATCAAGCGAAATTAAGTGAATATATGGTATGGATACACATTACTATAGAAAAGATTTACATAATTTCAAATAACATTTAATAACCTAACCAAAATTTCTACATTTAGATCATACATAGTGGTGCATGTTTTTGTAATATTCAGATAGACCGTAAAAAAATGAAACGTTCAAAATTTTCGCCACTTTCGTATCTAAGATACTTTTAAAGTATCTTGGTTACTTTTCGTGGTATCTAGATACTTTAGAAGAGTAACATGTACAAGATACTTTACAAAAGTATCTAAAACATAGTTACTTTTCGGCTAAAGAGAAAAGTATCTTAGATACTTTCAGTAACTAGATACCGAAAATACTCTTTTTCTAAAAGTATTTACAGCTCTGCCTATATATACTCCTATGGTTTCTCATTCCAAACCTATTATTTACGATCCTCGAAATCGGGGGGGGGGGGGGGGGGGGGAATGCCGAGTATCGGTAAAATATTCAAAGACTTTTTTACCACTCGCACGGTAGTAAGAAAACTTTAAAAATCGTGAAATTATAGCACCCTGTAGATCGATTCCTGACTGAAACACAAAAAGAGATTCTATAGGGAAAGATTGCGTTTTAACTTTTTTGATAAGCGCTGCAGGTATGAACGGGGTCTAAAGATTCTAAAAAATTACAATTTTCAATTCCAACGAGTATCTCAAAAACCAAGGGGGTTGTAAAAATAATGCAAAATGAAAAATGAAAATTGTCTCAGATCGACCGGAAAAAAAAATGTTCTTATAGAATGTGGCCTGTAGAATCCACAATGTCAAACAGTTCCAAGATTGGGCTACTAGTTCAAAAGTTACAGCCCTTTGAATTTTTTTCGAAATTGGTTTCTAGTCTATAACTTTTGATTGAGAAGTCTGATCGAAAAAGTACGAATTGTTTTGGATTCTACGCACCAAAATTAATAAGAAAAAGTGTTTTCCCGAGAAATTTTAGTGCAGTCGATTTTTGGTAAAAAAGGAAGGTTATTACACTGCCTTTTTTTGAGGCCCGACAAAAAAATTGTCTCAGATCGACCCGGAAAAAAAAATTGTCTTATAGAATGTGGCCTGTAGAATCCATAATTTCAAACAGTTCCAAGATTGGGCTACTAGTTCAAAAGTTACAGCCCTTTGAATTTTTTTTCGAAATTGGTTTCTAGTCTATAACTTTTGATTGAGAAGTCTGATCGAAAAAGTACGAATTGTTTTGGATTCTACGCACCAAAATTAATAAGAAAAAGTGTTTTCCCGAGAAATTTTGGTGCAGTCGATTTTTGGTAAAAAAGGAAGGTTATACACTGCCTTTTTTTGAGCCCCGAAAAAAAAATTGTCTCAGATCGACCCGGAAAAAAATTTTCTTATAGAATGTGGCCTGTAGAATCCATAATTTCAAACAGTTCCAAGATTGGGCTACTAGTTCAAAAGTTACAGCCCTTTGAATTTTTTTTCGAAATTGGTTTCTAGTCTATAACTTTTGATTGAGAAGTCTGATCGTAAAAGTACGAATTGTTTTGGATTATACGCACCAAAATTAATAAGAAAAAGAGTTTTCTCGAGAAATTTTGGTGCAGTCGATTTTTGATAAAAAAGGAAGTGGTAGTGCCATGATAAATTGCAATCTATTTTGATACCCAGATAGGTTGTACGAGGAGCACAAGAAATCATCACGTTCTCAATGAGTATCTGATGATCCTGACTTGCAGTTCGAGCGGACTTAGCCATACGCATGATCACAGTTTTATCTGAGTTTATGTCCAGTCTGTTTGCACCACACCAAGAAAAAAATTCCTTAATGAACAACTTTAGTTTCTCTAAAGCGTGGTCAGTGTTGTCAGCACTCACCACTACTGCAGTGTCGTCAGCGTACATAAACGTAATTCCATTGCGAATGAATTGAGGTAGGTCATTTATATACAGGAGAAAAAATATCGGACCAAGGTTGCTGCCTTGGGGGGTTCCTGTAGTTGTAGTATATTTTGTGGATATCGCGTTATTGTATCTAACACGATAATTCCTATTAGATAAAAACGATAGGAGAAAATCGTGAGTCTCATTCCTGATTAGTTTTTGTGACATTGGGCCGTATGAATAAAAGTAAGCAAATGCTTATACTTGCAAAATTCAAAGTAAATACTCGTAAGTGCTCCTTCGCACTGGGCGACTTAGCAGCGCTTCTAAGCAGAAGGACAGGACGCAGCGCAGCGCTGCTAAACCATGCTGAACAGACCAGTATGAAGGGGCAGTTACGAGTATTTACTTTGAATTTTGTAAGTATAGGCATTTGCTTACTTTTATTCATACGGGCCATTATATCAAAATTAATACTGTCGAATGCCTTTTTACTGTCAAAATAAGCTACGAAACAGGCTTTATTTAAGTCGATTTCGTTAGTTATATGTTGCACCAGTTCTATTGTAGCGTCTTCAGTGGACAACATTGGGCGAAATCCGGACTGCCTTAAAGACAATATTTTAAATTTTTCGAGAAATGTAATTATTCTATTATAAATGCATTTTTCAAGAATTTTAGAAAAACCACTTAGAAGCGAAATAGGTCTGTAATTGGAAACTTCAGAAAGATTGCCTTTTTTATGGATTGGCACAACGCATAAGGATTTCAAAGCGTCAGGAAAGACGCCGTTAGTGACACAGTGATTAATGATGCTTGATAAATCCGAGGAAATTGAAGTGGAGCTGGATTTAAGTAGGGTATTGGGAATTTCGTCCAGTCCTGGAGAGCTATGGCTTTTTAGGGAATGGATAACATCTAAAACTTCACTTGGAGTACATGGGAGAAGTTTAATCGAAAAAGTACGAATTGCATTCCGTTTTTATAATCCATCAACCAGGAAGATCATCGTCAGTCGAGAGGCGACGTTTCTGACCCCAAGAGCAGCTAGAATCGGTTCATGATTTTTTGTTGACGACAGTGACGATAACGCGAACCTATAAGTTCAGTTGGGATATCGAAATTAACAAAGTCCTTAAATTTACAGTATACATTTGTATAGTAATTTGAAAAGCTAAAGCGATGGGAACGAGGAAAGACGGAATTCCAAAATTTTTCGAAAGCGTTCACAATAAGATAAGTGAACCCTTAACTATTGCAAAATTAACTTTATGTATACCTACACTAGAATAGTCGAACTGATTATCTAGTACCTACCTATATGTTTTACTGTGGTTAAAGGTACCCACCAGAAGCCGATCTTAACAGCAAATTACATTCAGAAATAACATAGCTGCATAGTAAATTACAAAACTATGTCGATTGTTACGGTTCACAATGATTTGCACTTGCGATAGCCAGAGACTACCATTTAGTGTACGAAACTAAAACGTTGGGTGGGAGTCTCAGACTTACAATTTGCATCACCCAATGATTGAGCAAATGGGTAGGGTACCTACCTGTTACGTTTATGTTATAATCGATTATTGTTTGCAAATTACAGAACTAAAGACTAAACGTGAAGAAGGATTTGTTTCCACGCGCCCCAGGCCTAGTGAAACCCCTAATTATAGATCGTGATTTTGCCACTGATAAAACTTAATTAATTGAAAAAAGGTAGTCTACTCTTTATGCAAGAAAAAATGCAAATTTTTCGAACAATAGCTAACGAAGGATATTCTCATTGTCGATTTCGCACGCCAATTATTATAAATTAATAGTCATAATCCACGCCATAGAGATTGTAAAATAAAACTAAAATAATAATAAATATTTCCTCGATTGAAATTCTAGAACAAAAACATTCACTTTCTGTAATATATGGGAGACCAGATCCGTTGTTGCATTAGACAGTCTTAAAAGTACTACTTTAATAAATATTTAGGGCGTGTCTCTTTCCCCAATACCCGCTCTTGATAAAGTACCTACACACTTAAAAGAAAAAGCAAAAAAAAAGCGGTACGGATTTATATATATAGGTACATGCCGAGAGTGAATGATTGCAAAATTATATTGGATTGTTGAACTTCGGAATTGGATCACTAGGTATTGCGGCACTAAATGAAAAATTTTCAAAACTAGTTAAGGCGTACCTTTTTTAACGAAACATTAATTTTATAATGTTATGGTGTCGCCGTAAATTCGTTATAGGCATAGGCTTTGCATATCTCAGGTCGATCTAAGTGAAAAAAAATTTAGTTTGGTCCCTTTAGGCTATCTTTTTAAGTGCGTGGTTTCAATGCACACTTATGCTTTAGTCGGAGGCGATGTACTCGTATTTAGATACAGTTTTCTTAAATATGTGGGTATGTGACATATTATGCAATTTCCGATTTTATTGAATTTATGGATGTGGGTCAAAAGTCGTTAATTCTCACGGTCGGTTAGCTATGTTGACATTTTTCAAAAATATAATTGTATTTTTGGCGTTACTGCTCAGTCGATGATGTCGAAGAGTACGTACAGACATTTTTGTTTTCAAAAAAAGCCTCTGAAATTCTCATTATTTCATACGGGACCGTTCCACGCTTTTAAGTTCAATTAGTTCATGGGCGTATAGATTTTTATTCTTCCAATTTGAATTAGAGGAGAATGCAATTTCGAAACTTACAATAATTATCATTGCACTTGCACGACTTTTCAACCGACCATTGATCGAAATAGAAACTTCAACCTAGATAAAGTAATTAGGTACCTACCTCCGCCCAAGCTGTGCAAGCAACGAACAAGACGACCATTCTCACACCAATACACCCGATCACGATGTTTGTTTAAACAGGGATACAACTAATTAAACAAAACTATACGTTAGATAAATAATCACGAAGGTAATCTATCGTCCTTGCACGAAAAAAAAGGTACGCTCACAATTTTTTCTCTCATTGCAACATCAAGGCTAAAGTTTGGAAACGGAACCCGATTTGATTCACAATCAATTTTCCCATCAATGGATAGTTAATAAAATCAATTTATTGCCTACTAGCACTCTTATGCGGTATTATTATTAATAATTAGGTGTGTAAATGTTATGGTAGCGAATTGGTTTGCGGTTATTTGAAGACATTGAGGTGTTAAGGTTACGGACTAAGAAGTTTATTCACGTTACGTGATTGAAAGAAGAAAACTTTAATCGTTTTTTTGCTGCTTTTTTTGCGATAGAAGGTGTGGGAGCCTTTCTTTCGTTATTTAATTGCCAATATTAGGGTCAAGTGGAGACCTTGCACTACGACCTTTCAGTCGTTTCAAGAATTCCTTTTTTGGGTGGGCTTCCTTACATTCTCCATTCGTCCAAAGTTGCGCATATCGTGAGGTGGTATTAGTTTAAAGGTGAGAGAGCGTTTCCTGGTACGCCCATGAGAGTATCGCTTAAGCTGTAAGTAAAGGAAGTCTTTTATTCTACATGTCGTGAGCAGCTACTACAACTACATTGCTTTTCATATGAAGCACATGAAATAAACGACGATTTAAACAAATGCCTAGTAGCTATGGGCAGCAAACACATTGCCCAACAGGCTGGAGCCACCTTGGATGTAACTGTCCTCTTGACATCTTTAACTGTAATTACATTTAACTTGTCATTCTTCTCGATTGTTTTTTTAAACATCCTTGACTCCTTGATTTTGTCCATATACCGGGTGTAACAATTAAGTAGTTTAAGAAAAATTTCTTGTAGGCACCCGAAGATTTATTTTTCAATGTTGAGATTCTTCAAAAATCTGGAGTTTGTCTTTGAAAAACAATTTTCGTGTTATTATAACCACAATGGTTTTGCTGAACCTCAAGACACTGACTTATAGGATAAGCACTAGCTTCAAAATATATTGGATTTCAGTCTCTCATGGTTTCAAGGCGTATGCATGGATACAAAAGGCTTCCAATCCCGTTATTGTGAATTTAGTAATGTAAGAAAACTTATGTGTGTATTTTGTACATAAGGACTATAAAAACAAATTTCCGAAGAATAGAATCGAGTGGTGGGAGGTATTATGAGTAAAAACGGATCGAATTCTCGAAATTTTCCTATCAACTTCTTACCAGACCAAAAGTGATCCAAAATTTCGAAATTGAAATGGTATATCGGTAGTTTTATTAAAAGAGAAAAATAACCTAATTCCAACTAATTTTAATTCGAAATCTCAACATAATAATCTTTAACATAAAATATGGTCCCATTCGGAAGCAAGGATGAAACTTAGAATGCATGTCGCGTTCATATACCTACGTGCTTCAATGACGATATGGAAATGGAAACAAGTCGAGAAATGAATACTTCTCCCCACCCAATCCTCTTTTATCTCCCTCATTTTGGTTTTTTTTCTTAATTTTCTACAAAAACCGTAGGACTGAGGAGTTTACTTTTCATTCCAGTCTGTTCAAACGTTTTCCCGTGAATGAGTAACAAGCAGACTCACAAACTAGTATAAAAACCTTCGCATATGTTGATCGGAACAACTTAACGTGCCTTCCGAAGCACAGGAGCTGAAATTTATTGGTGTACGTCCAAAGAAAATTGTATTACATTTATTTTAATGAAAATCGCAACTGCAACTTCGGCAGGAACACTCCTTTACGGATTCTGACGTTTCCTTGGTCCGTGGTCGTACTCCTAATGTTTCTTCCATCCCCAATCCTCAACGCTGGGATATTCGGGTTTGGTGTCAATCTCTGACCCCAAATCCATCCCGCTTGTAAATATGCTCGTCTTATGTGTTGCAGAAGAGCATGAAATGTTGGTGGTATAGCCTGTCCATAGCTGCCAGAAGTGAGAAACATTACCCTACCCAAGAGGGACAGTGTATTTAAACTACCACAAAATAGAGCAAAGACTGCGTAGTCTCGCCTGTAACATTCATAGAGTGTTTCAGATCGATTGAAAAATGAATGTTTTGGTATAGACTTTTGTCAAGCCAGAACAGGGTGTAATTTGGAAAAGCAAGAAGCAATAAATATCTAATTGGAGCACCAGATCAGTAGGTATATGTTCTGCTGCAATTAGAACCATAAGCGTTACTCATGTTCTATGTTTGAGCTACTGCAAGTCAACAAGTGGAAATATTATGGAAAACTTATGCTTTCCTACCACAAAGCTTTATCACAGCAACTTTGTGTGAAACAATTATCATTTGAAAGCGGAAGTAGAACAGAAAGACGAATAAAAATTTTTAAAAAAAGGTGCAACTGCTATTGTTAAGGTATGTTTACTTTTGAGCGTCCGCGAAAACCAACGCAATAAGCTAATTACTATTCATAGTTAAACAAAAGCCGAGTCTTGATGAGTTTCACCGATTTCCCATTTCGAAAGATGCACAACCAAGGTCCAAACACTAATATGTTATTGCATTTTGCAAAGTGTAGTAGTCAGAGATTTCTCTAAAATGTGCATAAAAAGGTCGCTGTCAAATCCCTACGGTAATTGCGTAACCGCTCGCTTACAATGTATGTAAAAAATTGGTACCTATGTAAGTACCTGTCATACGATATATGTTGCGGTGATTTCAAAATCGTGAATAAAGTATAGCAAATCGACCAGACGGTTCTGCTGTTATTCTAAAGCTGATTTTTACAATACAAGATCGCTTTAATTTATAAGCAATTAAATCGCAATTAATCATACTCGATCTTAACAACGTAAAGAAACGTATGCATAATTGACACGTTTAATATGTGCATGAATAATTGCGGTTTTTACACGCGTTCTTCTTTTTGGAAAATAATAATTAATTACAAAACGGTAACCGGAAGTTTTCTGATGAAACTGAGAAATACAGTAGTAGCATGTGATACTGCATGGTCTTACATTACCTACGTCCTAGATATAGAATAACAATGGTAGTTACGTAAGTTTCTGTTTAAAATATATTTCGATAATCAAATCGGCAATTATGCCGAACAAAATGTGAAAAAGAAAGACATTCCTGTACCTACACACGTGAAATCGTATATGAATATATTGTAGTGTATAAAATTAGTGAAGCGTTCTAAGTTACGAAATTGAGTGAAAACGAAGTTTTGTCTACGGCGACATCGGAGATATTTTTTCGATTTCGGTCTATGTTGTCAAAAATGAACCGTAGGTGGTTTTGGAGTTAATTGCATTACAAAGAACTTGTACTTGCTCCACATTGACACGCGCTTGTCGTAATACACTTTCAAATTACGCTTTGTATACATAATAGCACTACATTAAGGTTGTTTTTTATTAATTACGGTGAACGTTTCGTAGCTTGGGTTAAGTATAAAAGCTGAGATTTCAATCCCCAAAGTCAGTATCGTTTCGTAGTGTGCAGTTTAACAGTTCATCATGTACTCACAGGTGTGCTTTTGGGTAGTAGTGCAATTACGTGTTTGGTACAAGTGCGCTTTGTTTACAGATCGTAGCCTTTTCCGCCCTTGTGGCGTACGCTAGCGCCGGACTCATCGGGGGTCACGGATACGCCGCCGCACCCATTGCGTACTCACACGCAGCCCCTATTGCAGTCGCCGCACACGCAGCCCCAATTGCAGTTGCCGCACATGCAGCCCCCGCCGTTGACTACTACGTATGTTGCCCCTAAACAACCCCTAATTCTACAATTTTTGCTCCCTAGGCACATCCCAAATATGAATTCAACTACGGAGTAGCTGATGCCCATACCGGGGACCAAAAAAGCCAACACGAAGTACGTGATGGAGATGTTGTTAAGGGATCTTACTCACTCCACGAATCCGACGGTACCATCCGTACTGTCCACTACACCGCCGATGACCATAACGGTTTCAACGCCGTAGTATCCAGATCTGGACACGCATTATTAAGTAATTCGTAACGATCTCCATTACTCGACTGCTCATATTGTTATGTATATACCTCATCACTTCACTCTCTCTACCTTCTAATGTCTTCTTTATTATTTTTTTGCATCTATATACCTGAAATATCAGTGCAATTGTATAATATTTATTTTTATAAAATAAATGTGTATATTTTATCTATACTTATTTGTTTTATTCTCACTCATATGGACCATATTATCAAAAAAGGAACGTAGACGTTTTAGATTTACTTCCTTTCTTTGTAACGTTAGAATTTGATATTTTGAGGATAGTTTTGGATTATACAAATGAAATATTGCATTTAAATTGTTCATATAGTCAAATATGACGTGAGAAGTGGCGAAGTATTATAAGTTAGTGTTACAAGAAATGTTAATGACCAGTTAGAAGCGAAACCCATACACAATATTTAAACAGATGAAATTTTCGAGTATAGATACAACGCAACACAGTAACTGTATTTAGTATTCTAGTCTGCATTGGAATTTGAATCAGTTTTAGGTACGAAAGGTCAGAAAAGCTGTTTAGAAATGTTTGGTCCTGATCATATTGGCCTCCTTTCAATTAATTTGAATACTTACTCTTGGGAACTATTGTACCAATTTTGTTTGAATTGAGTGTTAAGCCCTCAAGCATTTATTCAAATGTCAGCAATAGTGATAGAAGTTCACTATTAAAGAAAATTCAATCCGATAAGTTCTCCCAACTGAATATCGTCTCCAGAAAATTCACCTCGAAATATGCGCTCACGAAATAACATCCTCGAAATTCGCTGCTAGAGAACCTCTGCGAAAATCCACTCCCTAATATTCGCCTCAGACATAGTCACCCTAAATATAATCGCCCACGAAATATAGTGTACTAAACTGCCTACCCTGGAATAATAATAATAATAATAATAATAATAATAATTAATAATAATAATACCGTTTACTCCATGAGACTTGTATACAAGCATTGGAACGTCAAAATTATAAATTACAAATTATATAATTAAGTATAAATTATAAATAAGTAAAAAATAAATAAAAATACACTACCTACACGTTACATTACATATCTGCAACAATTTTACTGTTCAAGAGACTTGTATACAAGCATTGGAACGTCAAAATTATAAATTACAAATTATATAATTAAGTATAAATTATAAATAAGTAAAAAATAAATAAAAATACACTACCTACACGTTACATTACATATCTGCAACAATTTTACTGTTCAAGTATTCGTCTAACCTATAAATGCACATCTTTACCAACATGTTTTTTTATAGTTTGTTTAAACCTAGATGGATTATGGATACATTTTACGTTTTCCGGTAGTTTGTTCCAAAGTTTAATGGCAATGGCGGGAAAATGGTTGGCAATATAAGCATGGTTGAGCTTGGGTATTCTCAAATTCCGCTTGTTTCTTAGATTAACATTATTAACTACCGAGTCGGGTTGATGTAGATCTTTCTTACTATGTATGAATACAAGATTATTAAGAATAAATAAAGATACAGCTGTAAGTATATTAGATTGTACAAAGAGTTCCCTACATGAATACCGTGGTGGTTTACCATGCATGGCTCTTAAAATTCTCTTCTGACTAATCATTACCTCGTTCATTCTGCAACTGGTACCCCAACAAATAATACCGTAATTGAGAGTAGACTGGACATGAGCATAGTAGTAAGAAGTCAGACAGTCATAGTGAACTACATCATATAGTTGTCGATAATAACTTAATAACTATGTTTATTTGGGTATTCCTAGAGAAATTGTTGTCCAAGTGGAGTCCAAGAAATTTTATACTATCGCTTTGCCTGATAGTATGATTATTTAGTCTAATTAGGAGACTGCTATTAAGACCACTTTTTGAGAATTGAATCGCTTGAGTTTTATTCGAGTTCAAGAAAACCCCATTATCTGCACAATACCTGCTGATTTCCATGACACTCTCGTTGGCACGGCTACACAGGGTGTCTGGCTCATTACCGGTGATTATACTAGACGTATCATCAGCAAAATAACGTTAAAAAACTTTTATTATTAAATATATCATTAATAAAAATAATGAATAGAAGGGGTCCCAGCGTACTGCCCTGAGGAACACCATGTGACACCACTTTTTTGTCCGACTTAACCCCTCCTCCTTGCCAAACCATTTTCACTTCCTGAGTTCTTCCTACCAGGTATGAGCTTAGCCAGTCGGCAGCTATACCTCTAACACCGTATTCATACAGTTTGTTTAGTAGCAATTTATGATTGACGGTCTCGAAAGCACGGGTGAAATCGTAAAAAATACCAACTACTGATTCATTGCGATCCGTGTGCTCTAAAATATAAGAGAACACATTCAATACCGCATGTACAGTTGAAAGGTTTTTGCGAAATCCAAATTGGTTTGGAGACAGTATCTTACAAGCGTTAATAAAACTAAGAAGCCTCGTATAGTACACTTTCTCGAAAATTTTTGAGAAAACTGAAACTATAGTTATTGAGCATATCAGTTCGACCTTTTTTATGTATGGGGACAACCAGCATATGTTTAAGAAGGTCGGGAAAGATACCTTCCCTGAGTGACTCGTTGCATAGGTATGCGATAGTAGGACTGATTGACTCCTTGATTACATACAATAATGAGCATGGGATTTCGTCGAATCCAGCCGTGTGTTTGCCCTGTAAATTTTGAATGATAGCACGGATTTCAACGTGGTCAGTTGGAAACAGAAGCAAAGAATTAGGATTGGTGGACAACCTAGGTTTAGATTGATTGTCCGAACTAGCGCCTGTGAGGTCATGTATTGATTCAATGAAGAACGCATTAAACGCTTTGGCAATGTCAACTTTATCAACTAAAGAACCACCATGTGCATCTTTAAATTTATAGGGGTACTCTTTATTCTGAATAGGTATATAAGAATAATCAATTGCCTGAAAGAAGTGCTTATATTGTGATAATTCAATTTTAAGTTCTTCACTTTATTGCATATGAAATAAATTGTTATGTTGTGGCGTTTATTTTTTACAAATAGGTATTTATATTTTTTCAAAATCCGTATTTATTCCGAAAAGATACCCCCATTCCTGGTGACTGGGCTAGAAGTAGTAAGGACAAGGCCGATCTGTTTGCACAACACCTGGCTGAAGTATTTAGCCTTGAAGATGCTGTACCAACACAAGAAATGATTGCCAATTTACAAAGTCTTGTGGAAGATACCGGTCACATAAAACTAATAACTCCCCACGAAATAAAAAAAAGCAATCGCTCTTCTAAATAACAGAAAATCACCTGGGCCTGATCACATCACACCCAAAATGCTAAAAGAAATCCCTAGAAAAGTAATTGTACTCCTAACATATATATTTAATGGAATCCTCCGTTTGCACTATTGGCCCCTTCAGCTTAAGGCTGCTGAAGTAATTCTAATAGCCAAACCTGGTAAAAATCCACATCAAGTCTCCTCCTACAGACCAATAAGTCTGTTATATACTATCTCCAAGCTCCTAGAAAAACTCATACTCCATCGAATTAGTCCCCTCCTAAATGTTATCCCAGATCATCAGTTTGGATTTCGACAATCTCATTCGACAGTTCAACAGTGCCATCGCGTCGTACAAACAATAGACACATCCCTGGAAGACAAAAAATATTGCACACTTATCCAATCCAGGCTGGGGTACCGCAGGGCAGTGTGTTGGGCCCATTGCTTTATCTACTACACACATCTGATATACCTACTACACCCAATACTACAATCGGTACTTTCGCGGATGACACAATCATTCTTGCAAGTCATGAAGATCCAACAATAGCATCTTCTTATGTGCAAAGTCAGCTAAACCTTATACAAGATTGGACTAACAAATGGAACATCAAAATTAATGAAAGTAAGTCAACTCAGGTCACATTTACACTTAAAAAGGGCCGCTGTCCACCAGTTACTGTCAACAATTCAATTATACCTGTATCTCCATCAGCACGTTACCTAGGTCTACACCTCGACGAAAAACTTACCTGGAAGATACACATCTTAAAAAAGAAAAAACAAATCGACCTACGACTAAATGATCTAAACTGGTTGATAGGAAGAAAATCCTGATTGTCCCTAGAAAACAAAATCTTGGTTTACAAGACAATAATAAGACCTATTTGGACTTATGGTATTGAGTTATGGGGATGTGCCAGCAAATCAAATACTGCAATTATTCAACGCTCTCAGTCCAAAATTCTTCGAGCTATTACTGACGCACCTTGGTACGTAACCAACAAAATGTTACACGACGATCTCTTTATCCCTTTCGTTTCGACTATCATACAAGAGCGTAGTGCAAGTCATCATACCCGGCTAGAAGCACATGCCAACCCACTAACGCAACCACTTTTACTACAACACGACTCCAGAAGACTACAACGACGTTGGCCAATTGATCTCAAATAAGAAGTAGGTGAACTCCTCGCTGGAAGAGTTCCCATCCCGCCATCCAGGACTGTCTAGCTTTAAGGTCCCATGTTATCATATTAGCCCATAGAATGTCAATTCTGATTGCTAATAAAAATTATATATAAAAAAAAAATTATAGGTTGCGTCCAAATTTGGAATAATTAAAAACATCCTGCAGAGTACGCTATATTACAGTCACAAAATCACTAAAATTAGCATGAACCAAATAGATTCGTGATGAAGAAACAAAATAGTACCTTAAATTTGAGAAGAATGTACCTAATCGGCCCTATTGGAAGTTAAATCAGATTAAACAAAACTGGAACGCAATGCACAATACAAATTTTTGGAACACGCTCGAACACCTCCAATTTGGGGTCCGAAAGAAACTACTTATCTTTGTTAAGTTTCTTCGTCGTTTAATACTCGTATAGTTGCTACCACCTGAATTTAAGACAGTGGTTGTTTTTTAATATTTAATTTTTGAAAACTAGGTTTAGGTATGAGTTGAAATCTTTAAAATGGCTATAATTGCCAACTAAAATGTGAATTCCAATCCTT